AAGAATAACCCCAGTCTAACCAAACTTATGCAAAAAAAAAAAAAAAAAAATACTAACTAGGTTAATAAAGCTTGCTTTTCCTGGTGTCTCCCTATTTCTGGCTGTAGGACCTGTGGTTTAAGAAAGAAACTTACATAAGGAGGGTATTTGGTTAAAACAAGAAACATGCATGCACCCCCTTACCACCTTCTTAAAAAGAAATGTTTGAATTTTTTCCTCCTTTCTTTCTGTGGATCTTATTCAGAACATCCTGCAGTATAGGTAGAGAGTTTTCTCTTTACCTTTAAGCTTTAAGTGACATTACATAATAAAGATTTACATATTCTGTAAAATGAAAGATGCTCATGGCATCCTGTTCTTAAACAGAGTACAACTTTGGTAAATAAGTCAAGGTATAGATGTACTAATTTATTTATGCTTGAATTCAAATTTGGTGAATCATTCAAAGCAAACATAGTATAAAATTTCTTTTCTGTGATTCAAACAACTTTAAAACTTTAGTTGAAGTTTCTGGCTTAGAAAAATATTCTCATTTCCCCAGTTAATTTTTCTACCTATAATTCAGGGTTCTACAAAAATGATACAATTAATAAGGGTTAAACAAATCTTTTTACACACATTTAGAAAGGTGAATTTTTTTTTTTTTTTTTTAAGAAGGTAGGTGGGAAAGTGACTGCCTTACAAATGTGAAAATTCACTTTTCTGTCAAAATATAATCATGGATGAATGCTATTTTGAAAATGTACTGTAAAGTCTTTGCTTGCTATAAACCATTATTTTCATGGCCTGCCAAAGGTATCAGAAACTGATATTTTCTGGGACTGAAGCTACTAATTAGTCAATGTGTTTTACAAAGCTATTAAAAATCCCTCAGAAACTCAGAATATAAGACCTTAGAAACAAGTATTGGGACACAGTTGATTTTCATTGCTATAATATCTAACCTTGAATTTAGAAATGATGAACATATGTCTCTGGTTGTATGGAACACATTTGACCTATATTTTTCTTGTGCTTTCTCTATGCCCTGCTATTTGAAATTGAAAGTATAGATGGCATTAGTGGTTTTTAGAAACTTTTAGAAATTCAACAAACTTAAATTTTCATCCATTTAACCATACTTAGGAGATACAATTTTTAAATGGATCACAATCATTTGCCCGTGTTCCAGTTTAAATGTGCCACATCCTCAATTCTAATATAACCCACCATCGAATCAAGTGATATAAGCCTCAGATATCGTTCAACTTTCTCCTTGCTTCTCTGGCACTTAATATATAACTTTAAGACACCAAAGAAAAGGGACAAATTAGAAATGAAATTTTATATTTCTGCAAACTATAACACTAAAACACAGTAGCTTCTTTAATACACTCACACAGGATGCTTATTAGCAAAATTAAATATTTGTCTATGAATAGCAGAAAAGTAATTTGAAAACAAAGAGTTTGGAACAAGGCAAATGGGAGGGGGAAAGCTGGTCTCAGAACCCATTGTGCCATACCTGACTTTAACATGTGATATTCAAACAATCGTTCACACGCCTTACATCAAGAAAATGAAAAACAAAAACATTCAGCTACATTGTACAAAAAAATTTTTTTTACATAAAACATCATAAATCTTGAACAGACTTACTATATCTGAATTCTAAAAAGTTGCCTATAGAATGGTGCTGGGATTCTGTTCTCTGCTTGCTTTTAGGCAGTGCTGTTGCTTAAAAGTTGACACCAGGCACAATATTTTAAAACAAAGTCAACAAGCAAGGAGCAGTAAGGGACTTGAGCCTTTCCCAGATGTCAGTCCTGAGGATGCTGCGATTTTCCCCATCACGATGTGTAAAGCTATGAGGCGGATACTGATGCCTGAGAAAGTGGGTGACTTCACATGCACTTGCATGGCTGCTGTAACGGCAAACAGTGCAGTTTTCCTTTCCTCAAACAACACTGTTTTAATAAATTTAAAGAACACTCCAGTTCTTAGATAAATATCAGAAATCATATTTAACAGATAAAAAACACATTAGCACAATCTAAAAATGCCCAAATTTTCCTTTATCTTCAGTTAAAATATGCAGCAGCCCAATGGCATGGAGCTTATTAACTTATTCTAAGAACTAGAAAGCATATGAGCATAAATATTTTATTCTCACTGAATATATACCATATGTCATTCACCTCTTCCTTTTTTGGCTTGTCACTGCCAAAGTTCCAAATGGCATGGGTTTTAACAAGACAATACTGAGGAGAGCAGCATTTCTGATCATCTGAATTGGCAGCTCAAACAGATACCACTCCTTTTACAAAGGTAACAGAGGGTGAAAGGTATATGTGAAAGTTGGGCAGTGGGCTGAAGGGAAACCGTGCACATGAAATTTTGGGTCACCATGCCCCAAGAAAGTGTGCCACCCAAAACATAAGACAATTACCTACTTCAACAAAGCTACTACCAACATTTATTAAAACCACATTAAAAATACACAGGATAATGAATGGTCTGAAAGAGTGCATTTGGAAGCAGAGAGAACCCAATTACACACCTTCCTGCAACAGAGTGCCTCGATCATACACAAAATAAACTTAAGCTGTTTACAATGTTTCCCAAATTTTATTTTCCCTCTACATTTAACTATTAAAAAAGTTTTTATTAATAAATGGGCTCCTCTGTGGTTCATATACAATCATAAGTGAACTTTAAATTCCATTTTATACAAACATCTCAAAAAATATGGGGAGTGAAGTATGGTAGGAAATATTGCTCACATTGCTAATTAACATGCGTATATGAAAGAAGGAAAATGTTTTGTTAGTGCATATACCTCCAGAGCAGAAAACCCACCCAAAACAAAAGGTTTAAAATAACACATACAGTAGCTGATTACAAAAAAAGGTAATGTCCACAAAATTAAGTTTTTCATGCTATTCTACTTTCCAGTACTATACTTCAGGTAATCAATTTGCATGGCTAGATGTTGAATGCTTGAGGTATATAAGAAGGGATACCTGCACATTGAGGAAAATCTGTCATCTTAAGGGTTGTCTCTTTGTGTGTTTGTTTCTTCTGATATTTTAACATTTTTAAAAGAATATTTTATTTACATCAAACTTCACTCAACTACAATGACATTCCAATTTTAATAGATGACAAACAACGCCTCATCACTAGGCACTTTTAAAAGGGAGTTTAGGCTTTACAGAAACCTTCTGATGCAATCCCATATATGGTATCACATCATCCCACCACCCTCATCCCATTAAAATTACCCTTCAGGGAAATATTATATTCTATAGCCTGATTTACTATGGAAGAAATTAATTTGAAATAACCAAAAGAAAAGCATCATTTAAGACTAATAAAACAGCCTAAGATGTCAGGTTTGAAAGAGGAGACTAATTGCATACATTTAAAACTAATTAAATAATTTAAATTTGACTTGTACTTTATATATTAGTGAGACACAAATATAGGCTATTTTATTTTAAAATTTCATTCACATAATGGAAAATTTCTTGTTTATTAAAAATATCACATTTTGAGACTAGAAACAGTAAAGTGCATGAAAAGTTTAAAATATAAATTCAGAAAACTTTTATAGCAGCAAAAAAGCAGAATAAAGAAAAACTTAAAAACACAGACACAACCTTTTCCTGTTACTGTGCCATAATTAACATCAAGTAGCCAACCAATTTCCCCCCCAGAAAATGATATTATCTTCACTGCCTCGAGTCATAGATTTTCAACTGGCCCCTCATGGGCAAAAAAAAAAAAGGATTCCAACATATCTCAAGAACATCAAGAGTTGGGAATAAACCAGTAGCTTCTTAATTCAACCCTGACAGACAACAGAAACAAATATTTAAAGCATGTAATGGCCATTTGGCAACTAGAGTCAGGAAAAACAATTCAAGGTTTTCAACTACTCCCTGTCTCTTTCTCCCCCAAATTCTTTCTATTGTTGCCCCCAAAAGCCAAAACCAATAGTCACTTGACCTACTTTGGGAAACATATTAAATACTTGGACAGCTTTCATCTTCTAAAACTTTGATCAGGGCCATTTCATTCAGTAGTTATTTTTTAAATATTTGACTATACCAGCAAAAATGACATATATCATATAATACATTTTTTTCCAGCACAACCAGGCAGAAAAGGGTAGATGAGAATAATGAAAAATACTAGACAATAATTTTGTGGGCTTCCTAAATATACCAAAAATTCTATTTTCAAAATGTGTGGCAGTAAAAATTACTTGCTGTTTCCCTATAAATAAACTGGAGAGTTGGGCTTAAAATTAATACTTCCAATAAGTCTATAACTAAAAGGGGAACAAAATTCAGGTGATTTCTAAAAAAAATGTTTGCCCAACAAACTGTCATGTGGAGTTAACTGTTTAATTTTGAAAGCATATTGTGCAACCAACTTTAATTTCTCAATTTTTCTTATGGCTATAGGCTATATCATAGTTTATGTACAGATCTAGTAAATGTAAATGCTTTGTTAATGTGCAAATGACTTTGGGAGCCAAAAATTAGTTTGTTATAATGGAAAACAGAAATTCAAGAAAGTTTTCCCTACAAGGCATAACATTAAGTTTAAAATCTTACATCGTTTTTTAAAATTTGCCTTTTACAAAAATGGTTGGCTCATTTGAAACCATTTAAAGAAAAATATTTGTTTGGGAAAAACAAATACACTGTTGTTGGGCCTCAAATTGGTGATTTATCAATTACGAATGTTGACTCTTAATATAATATGAAGAAGGTCGATTTTAAAAACATGTTATAAATTAAAAATTTGGAAAGAGTAATACTTTGGTTCCAGCTCTAGTGCCAAATGATGCCAATATGCACAAAAAATGTACTAAGTCTTATAGCAAACACATAATGAAAGGAATCTGAAGAAGCAGCTTAAGGATGGCCATACTTCACTCCTATATACTTTGATTTACAACTGTACAGGTCCATAGCAATAGATCCCCGTCTTTGCGGGGCAGTACTCCACTACCTCCGATTAGGCAAGTGAACACCATTGACAAGAGGCAGGAGTGGAGGGTGGAGTTCAAGTTGTGTTAACAGTGAGAAGTGGTCTGAAGGGATGTGTGGGTGTGGACACCCAGTGATGTTGTTCTCAACCAGCCATTGAGGATCTAAAGGCCCCAGGACACCAAGCACGTTCATATGAGTCTTGGAATAGAAAATGTAGTCAATTACGCCCTGAAAAGAGATTGGGAGTTGGGAAAAAAAAAAAAGAGAGAAAAACATATGATTAGAATAAATAAAAACTTAATATATACAAGAACAATCCATAATTTTCAAAAGCCAAACACCTGAATGACCTGTACGTTTGGTTGTCTTGACAATGGGTAAAATAAGGCTCAAGTCTTTAATGGGTTATTACATGAAATAAAAGTGGCACAATAGGGAAACAAAGTACCCTACTGAAATAACAAAGTCTTACATGTGCGTGTAGGTGATAAGCAAACTGAGGAGCTAAGCATACCAAATTATGTTTACACATCTTTAGAATTTGCTTGCTTGGGTTAGTAAAATCTAATATATCAGTATAAGTATTATGGAAATTGCAGTAATTCTAACAGCTACAATAAGTAGAAAATAAAGATCTTTATATAAAATGCATATACCAGTATAATTAATGAAAAGATATCACTCAAATTAATTCCTTTAATAATAACTGGAATTATTTTCAATTATTTGCAGCACATAAAAATATCCAAACACATCTGAAAGAAGCCATAGTAAAGCATGTTTTCAGGTTTGCTAATCCTAGTTCAGCTTTTCCTATTTGTCATACCTACAAAATACTGCATGCAGTTAATTACTCTAATTTGTTCTTTAGTTTAGAATACTCATTTTCACAATTCTTGATATACTCTAAATTCTGGATTCCTTCCTGCCTAACAATACCTTTGCAAAAAATATTCAGCAAGGACCATATATATATTACTAGAAGCCAGTGCACGAATTCATGCACAGGTGGGATCCAGCTGGCCTGGGGGAGGAGCAGCAGGCAGTTGGCTAACCAGCCCTGCTCCCAATCAGGGTGGGGGGGCAACTGGGGGGAGAGCCAGATGGAGGAGGGGCCACAGGCAGTTGGCCATCAGCCTTGACCCTGGTTGAATTCCTGGTAGAACTCTCAACAAAGGAACAATTTTCATATTAGCCTTATATTATATAAGATTAGCAGTATTTCTCAGTCTGTCTGATCAGTAAGTTTCAAAACTATTGTGCTCTTCATTTCCTAGCTCTTTCTATGAAGCCAGCATTACCCTAATTCCAAAACCAGATATAGACACCACAAAGAAAGAGAATTACAGGCCAATATGCTTGATGACCAACAGATGCTAAAATCCTCAACAAAAATCTAGCAAATCGGATCCAGCATTACATTAGAAAGATCATATACCCTGACCAAGTGGGATTTATTCTGGGGATGCATGGAGGGTACAATATCTGCAAATAAATAAATGTGATACATCACGTAAACAAATTGAAAGACAAAAATCACATAATCATATCAATCAATGCAGAAAAAACATTTAACAAAATCCAATACCCTTTCTTGATAATAACTTTCAGCAAAGTGGGAATTGAGGGATCATACCTCAATACAATAAAAGTTTTATATGACAAACCTATAGCCAACATTTTACCCAATGGGGAAAAACTAAAATCATTTCCCTTAAGAACAGGAACAAGACAGGGATGCCTACTTCCACCACTCCTGTTCGACACAGCACTGCAAGTGCTAGCCACAGCTATCAGAGACAAGAATAAAAGGTATCCAAGTTAGAAAAGAAGAAGTAAAACTGTCATTATTCGAATATGACATGACATTGTACATAGAAAATCCCAGACTCCATAAAAAAACTACTAGACTTAATAAATGAATTTGGCAATGTAGCAGGATACAAAATTAACACCCAGAAATCTATGGCTTTTTTATACGCCAACAATGAACTCAAAGAAAGAAAAAATAAAAAAAACAATCCCATTTACCACTGCATCAAAAAATGAAAGATACCTAGGAATAAACTTAACTAAGGAGGTAAAAAACCTGTACTTGGAAAACTACAGGACATCGAAAAAAGAGATGGAGGAAGACATAAACAAATGGAAGAACATACCATGTTTGTGACTTGGTAGACTCAACATCATTAAAATATCCACACTACTCAAAGAAATTTATAGACTCAATGCAATCCCCATTAAATACCAACTGCATATTTCACAGACCTACAACAAACTCTCCAAAAATTCATTTGGAATAAAAAAAGACCTTGAATAGCTGCAGCAATCCTGAGAAAGAACAACAAAGTAGGAGGGATCTCAATACCAGATTTCAAGCAGTATTGCAAAGCCATTGTTCTCAAAACTGCCTGGTACTGGCACAAGAATAGATATATAGACTAATGGAACAGAACAGAGAACCCAGAAATAAACTCAAGCTATTATGCTCAATTAATATTTGACAAAGGAGCAAGAGCATACAATGGAGTCAAGACAGTCTCTTCAATAAATGGTGTTGGGAAAATTGTTCAGATACATTAAAAAAAAAAAAAAAAAAAAAAGCTAGATCACCAACTTAAACCATACACAAAAATAAACTCAAAATGGTTCAAGGACTTAAATGTAAGAACTGGAAAACCATAAAAATCTTAGAAGAAATCATAGGCAGCAAAATATCAGACATATTCGTAGCAATATCTTTACTAATAACAGCTCTTAGCGCAATGGAAACTAAGGAGAAAATAAACAAATGGGACTATATCAAAATAAAAAACTGCACAGTAAAAGAAACCATCAACAAAACAACAAGAAAGCCCTTTGCATGGGAGAACATATCAGTATTTGCCTATGCTATCTCACAAAATTTACAGGAAACTTATACAACCTAACAAAAGGAAGAAAAACAATCCAATCAAAAAATGGGCAAAGGACCTAAGTAGACACTTTTCTAAGGAGGACATAGAGAAGGCCAAGAAACATATGAAAACATGCTCAAAGTCACTAATCATCAGAGAGATGAAAATTAAAAGGACAATGAGGTAATATCTAACACCTATTTGGATGGCTATTACAAAAAATCGACAAACGACAAATGCTGGTGAGGATGCGGAGAAAAAGGAACTCTTTTACACTGCTGGTGGGAATGCAGACCGGTGCAGCCACTGTGGAGAACAGTATGAAGTTTCCTCCAAAAGTTAAAAATGGAACTCCCATTTGACCCAGTAATCCCACTTCTAGGATTATATCCCAAGAAACCAGAAACATCAATCAGAAAGAATATATGTACCCTTACATTCAAAGCAGCACAATTTACCATAGCTATGATTTGGAAACAGCCTAATTGTCTATCAGCAGATGAATGGATTAAAAATCTGTAGTACATCTAACAATGGAATACTATGCTGCTATAAAAAAGAAAAAATTTTTTACCATTTGCAACACCCTGGATGGACCTGGAGAGTATTGTGCTAAGCCAGTGGTCAGCAAACTCACTAGTCAACAGAGCCAAATATCAATGGTACAATGACTGGAATTTCTTTTGAGAGCCAAAAACTGACTTCTGGGCATGGGCCACGAAGTTTCAATCGCACTGTACATGCACATCCGCATGATGTATTTTGTGGAGAAGCTTCATTCACATGTGGCTCAAGAGCTGCAGTTTGCCAACCACTGTGCTAAGCAAAATAAGCCAGTCGGAGAAAGATAAATATCACATGATCTCACTCATATGTGGGATATAATGAGCAACATAAACTGATGAAAAAAAATAGATTCAGAGACAAGGTAATACTGAACAGACCGTCGAACCTCAGAGAGAAGACAGTAGAGGGGGAGGGGGTTAGAGATTAATCAAAGGACTCATATGCATGCATATGAGCATAACCAATAAACAGAGAAACTGAGGTGAGGGTGTGGGCTTGTCCTGGGGTGTTGGAGTAGCTGGGAGAAAAGGTCACTCTCTTTTGTTATTGTTAAACAATAACAAACAAGAATAAAAAAACTATTGTGCTCTTATTGCCCCAGACTGTATATGCAAGAGTAAAGCCAAATTTTCTACCTACCCACATCAAGAGAGCCTGACCCTAAGCATGGAGAAATATCTCCAGCCTGACCCTAAGCATGGAGAAAAAAATTACTTATTTACAAATATTATAAACAATGAGTTTCAGCTAATATTTTATATGGCATCACAGTGAAAGAGGATACTTTATCCCCCCAAAAATAAAAAGAAATATATATATATATATAATGAAATCCTAGAAACAATTACCTTAGTTTGCTAATTTTGACATGACCAAAATAACAAAGTTCCTTAACCTTACTTTTCCACAAATAAAGAAAACCTACTTGAACCCATGAGCCACTAATGCTATAGGCAGACAGAGTGATCAGAAAATTAGCGAAGGAAGGATTTACTATAGAAAACCACTACAGTCAATCTTTCTAAAGAATAACTGGTCTTGCACAATAGACCCTCCATGGAAATATCTTTCCTATTCTCTCTGCCTGAGAATATTTTAGTGTGACTACATGGATGTAAAACAGATCCTAAGTACAACCATCGCCTAAAGAAACCTAAATACGTAAAGATAAATGTGATATCAATAAAAAGTAATAATAAAATTTTGAGAGAATACTATATAAATTCACTCATGGTGAATTTAGCTATATCAGATTGCATATAATTTGGGTCATTACTGAAAGTTAGGGATGGTATGAACAGGTGAAATTTAACTATATTAATAAACGTAAGTGCTTCCAGTGCCTAGCACATAATAAACATTTTAGTAGTTTTTTCTGTTATCAAATGTTATTTGAAATTTGAACAAATAAGGATTTAAAAAGAATTCTCCAGTTAAGAATAACAATCACAAAACCTAACAAACCTCTTTTACATTAGGTGCATACTCAGCCAAGACATTCTGAGAATCTAAAAATTCCTGAAGATTATGCAATTAAGCACAATATAAACCTTTCTTGTCATGTTTATATTTAAAATAACTTTTATAGCAGCCCAGAGTAACCACTCACTTTGAAATCAAAGGTGTAATTGGTATAAGGCATCAAGTTATTTTCATAAGCGCTCTTCAATTGGAAGCCATGTGTGATTCTCCCTTCTGAGCTTCCATTCTTTCCATTGCAGCTGAAGTTCATAAGACACTCATTGTACCTTAGTTCCTTGAAGTCTTTATGGTTGTCAGCTACTCCTCCATTGCTTAAATATTCCACAACACCTAGTAAAGAAACAATATCATTTACCCCATGTCCCATCCACAGGATTCTTACTGATACACTCCCTAATTTAGAAGAAAAATTCTCTACTCAAAAGTTAAATTCTAGCTGGCCTTTCAAGTAGAAGTAAAAGCAAAACTGAAAATAATAGGAAATGATGCTATAAATACCTGAATCTGGCAATGAGTTCAGATCTGCACATAGCACCAGCGGGATGGAATTGGGATCTGCTGTTGGGCTGCCAGGCCTACTAGAGGCTTTCTCCAGAATGTTTTTAACCTCTGAGACAAACATCATGGTCTGGATGAGTTTCACATCAGAATACTCTGGGTCCCAATGCATGTGGGCATTTGCCACTATAAGCAGCTGTTTGTCTGCAGCATGAATAGGCTTCATACCTAAATTTAAACATTAGAAAAAGGAAGATAAAGTTAAGCTTTATGTATCAAAAAGGCAGAATCTTAAGATTCTCCCCCCAAATCCATAGCTACTTCTTATCTTCCCCTTTATTTCATAAAGTAGTTCTCATAAGCTACAGTGCTGACTTTCTAGTAATCCCAACATAGAAATTACTTTTCTAGATCAGAGTTGACAAACTGCAGCTCATGGGCTAAATATGGCCCATGTTTTTGTACAGCTTGTATAAGCAAAGACTGCTTTTACTTTATAAAAGAGTTCTAAAAAAAAAAATTTAAGAGACCATGTGGCCCCCAAAAACCTAAAATACTATCTATCTGGACCTCTACAAAATGTTTTCTAACTCCTGTTCTATATGCCTAAATTAGAAATTATACCATGATATAACTAACCAATATTTGATTATAATACCTTGATTTGCCAACTTCTTCGTGTAAAGAAGCACTTTAAATATCTCTATCATTTAAATATCAATATAACCTAGTGAGGCAGGTTTTCAGTTATTTGAGTTATCTAAACCTTAATTTAAATTCTTTTTGCTATTCACCTTACATTTTTTTTTTTTAGCACATCAGTGATAGGTCAGCAGTAAAAAAGCAGTAACATTATACTAACCTATACAAAATAAAATGAGAAAGTGAATTTTCTACCAAAACAAATTTATACCATATGCCCAAATAAGATAACTTTAAAAATTAAAATCAATAATGTGCTCTCAAAGTCTGGACATGGGTTTTCTACTCAACTTTATTACTAACTAGAGGCCCAGTGCACGAATTCATGCACCAGTGGAGTCTCTTGGCTTGGCCTGTGGGATGAGGCCAGAACTGTCTCTCTGACATCCCCTAAGGGGTCCTGAATTGCAAGAGGGCACAGGTCAGGCCGAGGGACCCCACTAGTACATGATCAGGGCCGAGGAAAGATGCAGGAGGTTGGCCAGCTGGGGTAGGAGGATCAAGTGAGGGCTTCAGGGCATGTCTGGCCAATCTTGCTCAGTCCTGATAGACCAGACCCCAGCAGTAGGCTCACCTACTGGTTGAAGCATCTTCCTCCTGATGGTCAGTGCACGTCATAACAACTGGTTGACTGGTTGACTGTCTGCCCCCTGGTGGTCAGTGCACATCAGTGAGCAGTTGAGCGGCCTTAGCATATCATTAGCATATTATGCTTTGATTGGGTGAATGGCCGACTGGATGACTGGACACTTAGCATATTAGGCTTTTATTATATAGGATTATTTTGTGTAGTCCTGGGCTACTCTTTTGTTACTTTACTTGGACAATGAAGGTGTTCAACTAGAAAATCTGTTAAAGTTCTTTTTTCCCTTAAAGGTCTGTTCTTTAATTTTGTCAAAATATTAACATAGTACTTTCATCAAAATGGCAGACAGAATAATATATTAAAAATTGTGAAAATTAAACTTAGTTAACCTGTAAGGCATAAAACTCAATATATATGGTATGATGCAATTTAAATAAAATTGTATACATATATCTTACATGTTAGTGATGTGTAAAGAAATAAAGAGTTACTCCTACAGAGTATGAATAAGGGACTTTTATATATTTTTATACTGCTGGAAAATTAGTGAACACATAAAATCAATGTTTCCATTGAAATTTCTATAAAAATGTCTCTCCAATTTTTGTATTGGAAAAAACAAAAAAAAAAAACAACAACCCTGCAGGAAAAGACTTAACTTTCTATGTCTACTATTTTTGTTGTTTCCTTCCATCTTACTAAGCTATAATTATCTTTGATGTTGTGTACTTAAGTAACTAAAGTATGTGTTATATGTGACAGAAATACAGTGGAACCTTGGTTATCAAACTTAATTCATTCTGGAAGGCTGTTCAAGAAATTATTTGTTAAAAAAACTGAATTTTTCCCATTAGAAATAATGTGAATTGAATTAGTCCTTTCCAGACCCCTAAATAACTCCATGTTTTAACCTTTTTCAATTACCTGTGTACTTTCACACCATTAGCAACATCAACATTCTTGATGGCCTTTTTATGTTTTAATATTGTGCTATCTATTTCACCACTGCATACTCAGTAGCCAGATAAGACACGCAAATGAACACCTATATCATACTTTGCAATTATTTCTTTTTGAAGTTCTCTCATTGTCCTCACAATGTCCCCTTTCACTTTGCTACTATCACTAACCTTCTTATGACCATGAACTTACTGTACGTATTTAGTAATAATAAGCAGCAACAAAAGCAAAAAACCATGAAAATATTCACAGCACAATTTCCTGAGATATTAAAAACATGAGGTTTAGTGGTAAACTGATTCATACTCATGCATTCTCTCCTTTGTTACCTGAGAGACCCATGACTATTATACAGATATCACCATGAAAGGGTTATTCAATGGAGAACCATGGTTTGTTTGACAACTGAGACATTTTTTCCATGAAAAACTTGGTTGAGAACCTAACTATTTTAAATGGGAGACATTAGAGAACCGAGGTTTGACTGTTGTCATTTTTAAAGCAATTTGATCATAAGATAAAGCTTGCAGCTGAAGTTCTCTAAGCTCTCTTCTTTTCCTAGAAGTTATGAAGTGTCACTTTTGGCTGTAGATGAAATATATGTTAAATATTAAAAACTTGCCCTTTCAAAGGGGTCATAAGCACCTTCTATAATATTAAAATCTTCTTCTAGGAGTACAAGAGTGACACAGATCAGAATGTGAAATTGTCCACTGTATAATTTATAGTTAAATTGAAAGAAAAGTAAAACTCCAAAGGATATTCAATTTTCACATTACCCACCCCACCCCCCAAGATGTACCAAATCTCTGAGAAGAATGAGACTAAATAGGATATAAAAGTATGTAAAAGTGGAGAGGCTAAAAAAGAAAATTTTAAATATCCTAACAAAGTCCAATTATCTTTGATGATGGATAAACTGAATAATGGCAAAAAAAAAAGTCTGACAGATATGCATGGTCTGAATAATTCAAATAACATTCAAGACAAAAATATTTTCTTCTACAGTTAGCAAGTACAAAAAATCCTCCTATATAATAAAGAGGTAATATGCAAATTGACCATCACTCCAACATACAAGATGGCTGCCCCCATGTGATCAAAGATGCCACCTCCATGTGGACACAAGATGGCAACCACAAGATGGCCAGCAGAGGGGTGGGGGGCAGTTGTAGGCGATCAGGCCAACAAGGGAGGGACCAGGCCTGCAAGGGAGGGCAGTTGGGGGCAATAAGGCCTGCAGGGAGGGCAGTTAGGGGTGACTGGGCCAGCAGAGAAGGTCAGCTACGGGCAACCAGAAGGGCAGGGGAGGACAGTTAGGAGTGACCAGGCTGGCAGGGGAGCAGTTAGGCACTGATCAGGCTGGCAGACAAGTAGTTAGGGGATGATCAGGCTGGCAGGCAGTAGCATTTAGGGGAAATCAGGCAGGCAGGCAAGCAGTAGGGAGCCAGCAGTCCTGGATTGTGAGAGATATCCCAGATTGGAGAGGGTGCAGGCTGCACTGAGGGACACACACACACACACACACACACACACACACACACGCACATTAATTTTGTGCACCGGGCCTCTAGTATATAAATAAAAGCCCTTATGTACTCTTATAGATTCTTCTTACTCTTGCCTTTAGTTAAATAAACAATGAAACGCTCAAAGGCTGTCAGTAGAAAGGAGAGGGAGATGGAGGTCTGGATATGTAAAGTACATGAGTTTCTGACTTTAATAAAAGCTATAAAAAATCTAAAATACAAAAGAAGCAGGTAGATTAAAGATCCAGCCTTTACCCTGACAATAACTGAGAGATAACAAAAAAATGAGAGAAAATGTGTCAAGTACTTAACCTTAAAGACAAAAGATTTTATTCTCAAGAAGGTAAAAATATGACTAAGAAGATAACCAACTCATCAGAATATCCAAATTCAGCCTATCTAAACATTTCCTATTTCAAATAACCTTTGGAATTAATGGCATATTAAAAACTCCCATTTTTAAAGATTGCCTTAATATCCTAAGAAATATATGGTGCTTTACACAATGAGTGGTATTTTCTTGCCAATCTCTCTCAATTTTCCACAAAAGACAAGAAAATAACTATGCAATAAATAGCAAGATTCTCTGCACTTGTCTGAGATAGAAAAACTTGGGATGGTGTTTATTTTTAGTAAGAATATTTTAAACTATACTCACCTGCTCCAAATAATTCCTTGTGGACCTCTAATACCACAGCAACACCAATATTATCTTTTGTCATGACTCTGTTCAGCATAGCTTCGGATCCATCTGAATTAGCCATTGCCACTTGATTAAATTCCACTGTATGCTTTTGCACCAATGTAAATCTACAAGGTACAATACATTATTATTATATTATGTACTTGGACTGCCATGGTAAGAGAGCACAAGATACAAGCACTATGCACTGTCTCTCTAATCAAGCAAGGGGCCATGTAATACAGGTCTGGCCAATGAGTTGTAAGAAGTCTGATTACTCACCATAAAAACTGTTTTGGAAGCACCATCTCGTAATGGCATGTTAATCCCTTTGTCCCTTTATACCTTTGTCCATGTGGTGAGGAGCAAGGAGCACAAAAGCCCAATCACCATAGATGGGAAAGCTGCTAAGTTCGTTCAGCACTGCCATTTCTGACTTCTTGTGTGAGAAAATTACCCTTCCCCCATTTCTTTAAATTGCTATTGGAATTTTCTGGTATTTAAAGGTGAACAGAAACTTAACTAAATCAGCAAGTTAATAGGAAAGGAACATAGTAAAATCTACCTAACCTTTTTTTGCAGTTTTATTCTTAGCACTTCAAGAGATTTGTCAACAAGATGTAGTGACACACCTTTATCTCAGCTAAGGAGAAGAGAAACAGAGTCTACCAATAGCCTAAGAAATAATTATCCATATTCTACCTATACTACTTTAACAATAATACTTTATACTTTCCCCCGTACACATAACCAAATGTAGTCCACTCTGCTTCTATTTTCTGCCTAACAGATTTCCATACAGGTGATATGTTGACAGATAAAGGTCTTCCTCCAATCCTTCTATTAGATGTATGTGGTTTTTTTTGTTTGTTTTGTGTGTGTGTGTGTGTGTGTGTGTGTGTGTGTGTGTGTTTAAATAAGACATACTGGTTTATACTTACTTTATACTCATCAAATCTTGGTAATATGTAAAATCTTAAAACTTCAATTCATTTTATTATTCCTGTTCTGTAGCAAGTACACAAAGACTATAAGTATTATGCCTAAGGCTATTGTATTTAAAGCTAAGAATTCTCCTGTACATTTACTCTTTTAAAAAAATCTTATTTCACTGATGGTCATATGGAAATAAGATAAAATATAATGAAGATTAATATGACAAAAACAAACAAAAGAGACTTCACCATTCTTTTATGATTTGAGAAAAATTATTAGTTTGAATGTTTCTAAAATCAGAAGAACATGTCCAAAACAGTCCTTCAAACAGAAGAAAGAAATAACTCAATATATTACTATCTTGTAATATAGAAGCAATTTTATGGGGTGTGATATGATTAAATTAATGCTGGAGAGAGGACAAGATGATGTCCAACAATGAGCAAGCAAAATAATATATATAATTTCGCTTACATGTGGAATCCAAACAAACTCAGACACAGAGAACAAACTGATGATTGCCAAAGAGGATAGAGGTGGGGTTGGGTAGAAAAGGGAAAGGGAAATAAGAAGTACAAATTTCCAACTATAAGTCACAGGAATGTAATGCACAGCATAGGCAATATAGTCAATAGCATTGTAATACAAAAGTTAACTATGACATATATTCCAGCACTCTTAAAACTAAACCAAATAGATGTTTTTATTGTATATTCAGTACTATAAAATGCTATAAAATGTGTTCTTGGATTCCTTTAAGTAATCATGGAGTGCCAGAAAATAATGTACTAGAAAAGATAAGATTAGAGACTGGATAAATGGGGAAGATAAGTAGATGTATACCATACTACCTATATTTATACAACTCTTAACCACTGAAAGCACTTTCACTTACTTGATCTTTTTAGCCCAAAAAGAAGCCTTTAAAGTTAGGTGGAATCATTATAAAAGGGTATCCCAAAAAATGTAAACACATTTTTTTTCTGATAGCTCAACTGATGTTTCTTTCTTTTCAGATTTAACTCATTGGGAGTTAATAATTATTCAAAGTGTATATACCTATTTTGGGGGACACCCTGTATTATCCCTAATTGAGAGGTCAAAAAACTGTGGTACAAAACAATAATTTTATGTTCAAGATTAAGTTAATGGTAAAATTAACATTAGAAACCAAAAATCACAATCTGTTTTTTTTAAAAACTTACATAGACAAATTCTAACTTCAATCACCACCTAAAGCAGAGGAAATTAATAACTGAGAAACTAGTGAGACAGGGATCATCACAACAGATCATTTTGGGATGATATAAGTATAACCTCTGAATGCCCTCTTTTCAAGCACAAAACTACCTATAATAATGTAGGAAGGAAAAGCAAAGATCTGGCCTTACTTGGTACCTCTGATACTGAAAGCAAGTTAGACAGCAGAGGCAATACAGCAAGGGCTAAGTAAGCACCATGACCGAGTAGTTCCCAATCCTACTGGAAGAGACTGCCTTTCCAGTGTCCTAAAACTGCTGTTCTCATCTTTCCCTCTCTCTTTGATTTTAAACAAAGCAGGATCAGATCAGACTGCTAACCTCAGGGACAGTAAGAAATCCACCTAGGATTTCTGCAAATTGATTATCTGGATAAAAGATCTTGTTTCTACTAAATGATAAGTCTATAGGACAAAACTTATCTATATACCAAAGGCCCAGTGCACAAAATTCGTGCATGGGTAGGGTCCCTAGGCCTGGCAGGTGATCAGGGCCAATTGTGGCCATCTGGCTGCCAGCCAGGGCCTTCCTTTGTTCCGTGCTGCCCCCTAGTGGTCAGCACAGTCATAGTAAGTGAGCAAGCAATCAAACTGCTGCTCTCCCAGTCGAATTCCCAAGGGGATACTTTCCATATTAGCTTTTTACATATATACTGGAGGCCCAGTGTAGCTCAATTCCACTTGCCTCAACTGGCCGCCATGCCCATTGCTTTTTGTAGCTCGTGCCCTGCACTCTGCTGCTCAGAGCTCTCCACCACTGGTGGCTCACGCCCCACCCTCTGCTGCTCATAGCTCTCCACTGCTTGTAGTCCTCTGCCACTTGTAGCTTGCTGCCCTGCCCTCCACCTGCTGCAAGAGCCATTGCTCTCGGGTGGGGGGGAGGGGAAGGGACTGAGAGTTGCTCAATGCACCTCCTGGTGACCGGTCATTATGGTGTAACGGCGTTACAGCCACAGGCCTTTTATAATATAGATAAAAGATATAAAAGCCTAAGCAACTCTTAAGACCGAACAACCAGCTGACCAGTTGTTATGATGCACACTCACCACCAGGGGGCACTCAACACAACACAGGAGCTGCCCCCTGGTTGTCAGTGAGCTCCCACAGCCAACCTCCTGTGGTTCCTCCCCCCAAGCCAGCCAGCCAGCCAAGGGACCCTACCCATACACAAATTCATGCACCAGGTATCTAATCTACAATAACAGTGCCTCTATTCATACACATACACACAAATACATACATATGTGTGTATAGACACACAAGTGCACACACGCACACACACGTTATAAAACACTTTAGACTGAAGATGATACTTATTGAGGTAAAGGACAAAGCAAAAGCATGCTACCAATCCAAACTTATTTTCTGGTATTTCTATGCATCTACCAATAAAACAAAAACAGAACATGTTTATAATAATGACTGATAAGTACTACCAAATCTTTAACTTCTGAATCCCCAAAGATTAAATTAAACCAGAATGAATATGATTGAAGGAATATTTTATTGTATCCTAATTCCCTGAATATTGTTAATCTGTGCCCTAACTTTTGCTAGGCTATATTCCTACCCCATTATCACAAAGGATGAGTTTTTTCTTCTAGCACTTTGCTAAAATAGTAATTATTATAGTTCCTATTTATTGTTACTGATTCTGTACCACTGTTTTTAAAGAAGGGGGGAAAACTGTCATCAATGAAGATTACTAAGAATTATCAAGTACTCTGGTTTTAGAAGAATGAGACTTTGAGAATGAGTACAAAGAGAAAACCCTTCTACAGCTCATTTCTGACTGTTAGATTTGTTAACTATATAAAAAATTATCTTACAAGTTAATATACAAATGAGGGGAGTTAGAGAACAACCAAAGGACTTGTACGAATACGTATTAGCATAATCAATAGACACAGATACTTAAGCAGTGGGGGCTTGCCCAGTTGGAAAAGGCTGGGCTGGGGGAGGGGAGGTATTATTTGAGGGGAAAAGGAGACATGTGTAAAACTTTAGACAATATAAATAAATATAGATAGATAGATAGATAGATACATAGATAGATAGATAGATAGATAGATAGATAGATAGATAGATAAATGTTTGTTGAATGACCACACACATACACACACACACACACACACACACACACACACACACACACAAATAAAGAAATAAGCCCAGAATTGTCTTTTCTTTGCACAGCTAAGGTAGCACACTTTGTATTGAATTCCAAATAATATAGTTTTAGCTAATATGACATCAACAAGTATTTGGTACTGTTTAAAAGAGGTAAAATGTAATAATGTATCATACCCCTAGTCTTTATCTATTGCTAGATTTATGTTACTATGTAGGCAAAAAGAGTTGAGAAAGGAAAGAAATCCAAATAATGCATCTTAGTGTTTCCTATGTTATTTCATCTCTCAACTAATTCACAGTATTTTTAAAAATTCTAGCATCAATTTTCAAATACTTAATTGTTTCCAAGTTTCCTAGATAGCAGATATAATTGTTAGTTCAAAATCTTAACTACCTATAGTACTATTAAATTACCAAGGCATTTAAAAATTTTCTCTTAAAACCATGAAGGGAATAGTAAAAATTCTCTATCATCTTCCTTCAGGAAGAAATAGAAAATAAAAGAAAAGAGCTTTATATTAGACTAGTGGCCCAGTGCATGAAATTCATGCATGGGTGGGGGGGTGTCGCTGAGCCTGGCTTGCACCTTCTCCAATCTGGGACACCTTGGGGGATGTCCGACTGCCAGTTTAGGACCACTGGTTCCTAACTGCTCACTGCCTGCTGGCCTGAACTCCTCTAATCACTCTGCCGCTGGCCTGCTTGCCCCCAACTGCTTCCCCCACTGGCCTGCTGGCCCCCAACTGGCCCCCTCTGCTGGCCTGATCTCGCCCCCAACTCCCCTCCTTGCTGGCCTGATCACCCCCAACTACCCCTCCACCAGCCTACTCACCCCCAACTGTCCCCCTTGCTGGCCTGATTGCCCCCAAATGCCCTCCCCTCCTGGCTTGATTGCCCCTAACCTTCTCTGCCTTCACCCTGCCACCATGGCTTTGTCCGAAAGGACTTCTGGAAGATCTTCCGGTCTAATTAGCATATTATCCTTTTATTAGTATACATATCTCAATGTTATCAGTACCTTTAAAATATATTATGAAGTAAATTTGTGTAGGAATGTAAATAATAAATATCAAACTCAAAGCTATTTTACCAATTGAAGTAACTGTATACGAAGTACAAGTAATATTTGAAGGTCATATAAGAAACCTAAAGATTCCATTTAGTATGGTGATTAAAAGCACTTACTATGAAACCAGACTATTTTCAGTGCCTTGTTTTCCTCATCTATAAAATTGAGAAAATACTATTAAGAAAGAATATATGCACCCCTATGTTCATATTAAGTGTTATTTATAATAGCTAAGGTCCAGAAACAGCCCAAGTACCAATCAGTAGATGTCTGGATAAAACAAGTCATGGTACATTTATACAATGGAATACTGTGCAGCAGTAAAAAAGAAGGATCTCTTACCCTTTGAGAAGTATGAGGGACCTGAAGAGTAATATGCTAAGTGAAGTAAGCCAGTCAGAGAGAGACAAGTATCACATTATCTCTCTCATATGTAGAATTGAGTAAACAAAATAAACTGACAAACAAAATAGATCCAGAGACATGAAAGATTGCAACAGATTGACGAATGTCAGACGGAAGGTGGGAGGAGCAGAAAGAGATCAACCAAATTATTTATATGCATAAGCCATGGACACTGATAATAGGGTGGTGACGGCCTGGGGAGGGGAGGAGCAGACCAACATGGGAAAAGAGGTTTATAAAAGTTTTTTAACAATAATGATAAACTTTCAAAAAATATTTTTATTTTTTAAAGTATTACATAAGTCCGCCGAAACTGGTTTGGCTCAGTGGATAATGTCGGCTTGTGGACTGAACGCTCCCAGGTTCGATTCCAGTCAAGGGTATGTACCTTGGTTGGGGGCATATCCCCAGTAGGGAATGTGCAGGAGGCAGCTGATCGATAATTCTCTCTCATCGATGTTTCTAACTCTCTATCGCTCTCTCTTCCTCTCTAATAAATCAATAAAATATATATTTTTAAAAATTATTATATAAGTCTCCTCTTTCTCCACGTTGACCTCTCCCTGGATGTTCCCCACCCCCTACCACATGCCCTCACCTCCCTACTGTCTGTGTCCATTGGCTATGCTCATATGCATGCATACAAGTCCTTTGGTTGATCTTCCCACTCACATCCTCTGCCTTCCCTCTTAGGTTGGACGATCTGTTCAATGCTTCTATGACTCTGGTTCTGTTTTTGTCCAACAATTTAGGTTGTTCATTAAATTTGCAAACGAGTAAGATGGTGTGATATTTATCTTTCTCCGACTGGCTTGTTTCGTTCAGCATAATGCTCTCCCATACTGTTGCAAATGGTAAGAGTTCCTTCTTTTTATACAGCAGTGTGTATTTCATTGTGTAGATGTACCACAGTTTTTTAATCCACTCATCTGCTGGTGGGTGGGCACTTAGGCTGTTTCCAAATCTTAGCTGTTGTAAACCGTGCTGCTATGAACATAGGGGTGCATATATCCTTTCTGATTGATATTTCTGATTTCTTGGGATATATTCCTAGAAGTGGGATTACTGGGTCAAATGGGAATTCCATTTTTAATTTTTTGAGGAAACTCCATACTGTTTTGCACAGTGGTGAACCAGCAGTGCTTTGAGGATTTCTTCTTCTCTACATCTTCGCCAGCACTTGTCATTTGTTGATTTGTAGATGATAACCATTCCGACAGGTATGAGATGGTACTCATAACTTTTTAAAAATAGGGAACTACAAAACAACATTATCCCCCCTATTACCCTCTCAACCCCCACAACTCATGCCCTCGCCCCTCTGTTGTCTGTATCCATTGGTTAGGCTTATATGCATGTATACAAGTCCTTTAGTTGATCTCTCCTCCTTACCCCCATCTTCCCCTATCTTCCCTCTGAGGTTTGACAGTCTGATTGATGCTTCTCTGTATAACATATGTAATACCTTAATCAATAAAGAAAAATATTTTTAAATGGGGAACTACCTTTATTCCTACCTCTGAGGGTTTATTTAAAAATTAAATAAGATAATCCATATTAATAAAAGGCTTAAAATGTAAACATTTTAAAAGTAATTACTGTGTTTATTCTAAAATTTGTTTTAAAATAACCACCTAACCTGGCTGGCTGGTGTGGATCAGTGGTTGAGTGCTAACCCATGAACCAAGAGGTCACTGGTTTGATTCCCAGTCAGGACACATGCCTAGGTGCAAGAGGCAACCAATTGAAGATATTTCTCACTCATCAATGTTTCTATCTCTCTATCCCTCTCTCTTCCTCTCTCTCTAAAAATCAATAAAACATATTATAAATAAATAAATCACCTAAAAGAATTTCATATATTCTGACCTCAAATATTATAGGGCTGTGTACTAATTATTAACTAAAATGAGAATACCTCTATTAAAAATTCACAGAAAAGATAGGAAAATAGATTCAAATTAATGAAAAGTACCAAATATCTTTCAAATTCACTTAATTCATTTATTTAAATTAACATTCTGGTAATATGCCTACATTAATAAAAAACATTTAACCAACTTTGTTATAATAGGTATTAAACAGGAATATAGTCATAAGCATGTAAATACTTATTGTTTAAGTAGATTCTCTAATATAGCAAACCTAAATTATCATCCATGAGATTCAATCTCTATCAGACTTCACATTTTCAGTCTTCTATTGATGGTCCTTTCTAATTTTCTACTTTAAAATTGGCAGCCATTATGAGGCAAAAATATTGTCTTTTCCTCATGATGATAACCAAAGAATCTGCCTCTAACCATATAGTTACTCAGCCAACACTCAAGAGACACTTTCTGACCATGTTATAGCCCCTCACCCTCAAGAAGAAAATACAATTCTAAATCAAATGCACACAACATAATAAACCCAGTAATAGAGAAAAATTAATATTACAAAGGACTACAGAAAAAGGAAAATATAATAAAAATATGTCCAGGATACTTAATAGTTTCAAAGGAACTACCCATTCATTATCTCATTTAATTATTTTAACTATCTCTGTAGCAAGCATGAATATGGTTTTCCAGATTAAACTCAAGAATATTAAAGCACAGAGGCTTCTACAAGATTATTTATGTATTTTAATAAAGACTCCTAATATTATCATTATAACTATACAGTAACCAGCTATATTAACAGCCCCCCCAAAAAAAAAACATGAGTGATGTTTTCTTTATGTCCGATAATGATTACTTTCCACTATCCTGTCCTAATTAATTCTTTAACTCCCCAGCTCCATAAGCTCTGTGCTTCTGCCTTGCCTTATCTTAATACATATTTTTTCTGCCATATATATATATATATATATATATATATATACACACACACACACACACACCTGGCATATGTGTGTGTGTGTGTGTGTGTGTGTGTGTGTATATATATATATATATATATATATAATGTATGTAAATATATGTGTGTGTGTATATCTGACACACATATATATACATATACATATAATCTAATATATATATATATATATTTGTGATTTTTTAAAATTGTTATTGTAAATTTTTTTTGTTAATCTTTACCCGAAAATATTTTTTCCATTCATATTTTTAAGAGAGTGGAAGAGAGAGGGAAAGACAGAGAGTAACATCAATGTGAGAGAAACACATCAATTGGTTGCCTCCAGCATGAGCTCCTACTAAAGCCCTGGCTGAGGAGGAACCTACAACCGAGGTACATGCCCTTGACCAGAATCAAACCTGGGACCCTTCAGTCGCAGGCTGATGCTCTATCCACTGAGCCAAACTGGCCAAAGCTATTGTGATTTTCTTACATGCTTACCTTTTCCTACTACAGTATAGCTCTAAGTGTGCTTAGTAACTGTCTATTTGTGACTACCATAGTACCTGTCACAAAACAAATGTTCAGTAATCGTTTAGTGAATAACTGATTAAATAACTGTATGAAATAGTAACTTAAAAAAATGATGAAAATATTTATAAAATGAATGATTCTGAAAAAGACCACATATTTTTTTAAAAATCACAGAAGGAAATAAAAACTTATTTCTAATTTTAAAAGCTAATTACTTAAAATCTAATTACTTTTTTACACCAAAACTAATATTTTACTTCATGAAAATATAATTGGAAACATGATTATAACACTATATTCAAGTATATTCATTTACTTAAAGTTTAATTTTTATATCACTTGCTTTCTAGCTTTTTATTTATTTTATAAGTCAAACCAAAAACAATTTAAAATGTGCAGTAATTAAAGGAGTTTACACTATTATGTTTTCTTTCCTTAACTCACTTTTCTGTTTTGAAGAATACTGCACAACCATCCACATGCTTTCTCTCCTGCTCAGACATGATTTTGGCACGTGACTTTGGAGAAAAAAATCCATCATATCCACGCTCCTTTAATGCTGGCAGAAAGAGAGTGAAATATTGCTCTGTTTCCACTTCCTGAGATGAAAAAAAAATTATCATCAACATGACAGGAAAACTCTGATAAAGATATAAAAATGTTCAGCATTATGAGTAAGATGAGACTAAGTTAAAATAATTCACATAACAAATATTAAACTACCTTACCTTACTCCTAACAGCTGCCATTTCAAAATGGCAGCTTTTTAAACCTTTTGAAAGAACCAAATGTTATATGATTTTTTGCATGCTCACACAGCCAGTGGGTCCCAAGCCTCTTGACTCCCAATACTGAGTTCATCCCACTATTTTTCATTTCCTCACAACTGGTAATTAAACAAAGAAAATTAATCATATAGATTAAGTGGTAGGAAAGAATAAATTTTATATATAAAAAAGTAATTAAAAAAGCTTTTTTTTAAAGCTTTCTCATCTGTGGTAAAAGGCATGAATATCTGAGAGTAAGAAGCTTAAGTTCTATCAACAACAATTTAAGGAATTTTTTGGTACCTGATTCTAATGGTCTCTGTTAATTTAGTAATTATTGGGTTAAATTATTTTATTTTTTTATCCACAAAATATTTTGAACAAATCCTTCCAAATGAAAAAATCAAGTCTGAAGATAATGATTTATGAATGATAATGCTCATAACAACATAACTTTATAACATGCCTAAATGTCCAACAGTAGGAAAATGATAAATCAGTATTTATTCATGTAAATAATTCTGAAGAATTATAGTAATATAAAGTGCATTAAGAGCAATAAATAAAAAAAGAAAATATGTCAATTAAGTATGATAAACTTTATTTTTAAAATATATCTACAAATAAATAAATAAGTGAATTAAAAATATATACAAGAATCACTTCAGAAGTTTTAACACAGCAACTATCTTTGGGATATGAGATTACGTGTTTTCTTCCATCATTCTTTATATTTTTTCAGCATTTTCAACTTCTCTAGAATTAACACATTATAAAGTAGTATTACTTAAAAAAAAAAACGAAGTGTTTTGGCATATAGTTGTGTATGACCTACATTTGAAAAATTAATTGTTATTAATATATTTAGCAATGTCTATTCCCCAGAGCAGATTTCAGAATGGTTTCAATTTTTTAAATTTTTGTTTCTGATAATATAACATTTCTTGCTTTAAAACATTTTTAAATTAAATTTATTAGGGTGACACTGGTATGAAAACTTTTTATTATGGTATTTTTACCCTTCAAACTAAACTTTACATAGAAGAATGTGAGGCTACTTTTACTACATATACAAAATGGAGGGAAGTAATAATAATAATAATAATAATAATAATAATAATAATAAGACTGATTCTGTTTGCCTCCTCCGCCCCCAAAATCTGTCAGTTCTCAGTGACGAGAAGAAAATGTAATTTTTGAAGATATTTATTTCTTATTATTCCCCAGGAAGTCATATAAACCATGGACAACATAATAATTTCTTCTCAGGCTATCCTGAAAAGAAGGTGTGAAACTATAATATTTAACATTTTAAGATACATTTAAAGTACTTAATATGCTTTGAAAGCTGCTAAAAACATTTTACTGCAATTTATCTAAAAACTTTCTTGGCTATTCATTAGCTACATATTGAAAAAAAGCAATAAAATGTATATTTCAATGGAAAGGTACTTCTCCAGTTAAATTTATTATACTAAAGTGTTATAAAACAGAAGAATCTAAAATTCAGAGGTTGTGTTTAAATAAGACAAAATTGCATGATTGATGGTAAAATATTCTTTGCTGTTGTTAATCCTCATCTGAGGATATTTTTTCCATTGATTTTTAGAGAGAGTGGAAGGGAAGCAGGGAGGGGGAGAGAGAGTGAGAGAAACTTTGATGTGAGGGAGCACACTGGTCAGTTGCCTCCCTCTTGTGCCCCCATGGGGACAGGGATCCTGCAACCCAAGTATATGCCCTTGACCAGGAATCAAACCCATGCCTCCTTGGTCCTCAGACCAATGCTCCAACCACTTAGCAAAAACCATCCAGGGCTATATACAATATTTTTAAATATTTAAAATGTTTATTATCAAGGAACAATAGTAGGCAAGCAATTTTCTTTTAAAATTAAAAGTCAAATTTATATTCCTAAAAGATAATCTTCTGCAGTTTTCTCTTTTGGCAATACCAATAAGTTATGGATGAGATAATTGTTAACATGAGTAATGCAAGAGATAATTTTCACTTAAGATAGTAAATAAGTATAAATGGATGGCTATATTTAGTAAAATAGTTTCACTGTGGAAATGTCTTAGGTTCTTTTTAAAATTGTCCATTTTCTTTAAGGACAGAAAACAATTCCCTTTGAGTTTTACTCTGAAAACAGGATCTCTCCCAGAAGTAAGAGCTTTCATTTTTAAGTTCACCTTTGACTTAAAGACAATTCAATTTCTATTGTGTTACCTGAAGACTAATGATATCTGCGTCACAGTTAACAATTTCTTCCATAATTCCCTTTTTCCTGTATTCCCAGTTTAATGCCCAGGATGGGCAATAGCCATATAGCTGCCGGGTGGCGTATTTATCACATAACACATTGTAACACATAACCGTGAATGATGCTAAGAAGTGAGAGAGAAAAAAATAGACAAAAGGGAGAAAGTTAGGCAACTTTTCCTAAAGTAATGTGCACAAGCACACAGGGCATTCAAACACACTTAAAATATCATCATTATGAAATGCCTTGGGCAAGAACACATTAAATAGTATCTACTAAAGCTTCATTGAAGTTCATCACACCAAAGCAACTTTACTAGAATTAGACTAACAGTTCATATTTGAAATTTTTAGAAAATTTATTTTAATACAAATTAAAATTTTAAATAAGAATGATTTTTGCACATAATTTGTTGAGTAAAGCTTCTCTATATAAATGAAACAAAGGTAAATTTTAGTTTTGTTATATTAAAAGGCTCTAATTCCATTTATTTTTATAAAATATCTATACTTAATACTTCAGTGGACTTCTTACTGCTCTTACTGCTCTGAGCCAGAAGAATATGCACTAACAAAGTTTAGTTATAAGAGAATCCTTTTTGCCAAGTGAAATGTTCACTACTGAAATTAAATTCTCATTTTAGAATGCCCTTGAACTATGAAAGGACTGTGAGCAAACTAATAGCTGAGGGAACATGGTTTTTATAATGAAATTAGAAACTCAAAAGTGTGCTCTAAGGAAAAGGCATCAGCTATCCTAGAAATGCAGAATCTTTAGTTCCATGAAAACCTACTGAATCAGAACCTGCAATTTAACAAAATGTTCAGGTACTTCATATGACATGCACAGTTTTAAAAGCCCTGATTTTTACCAGTAATTCTCTACCCTGGCTGCCCATTAGAATCAGTCTGAAGAGCTTTAAAAACAAACAGCTGATGCCCATGGCCCTACTCCAAACAAATTAAGTCTGTTTATTAGGGTCAGGGTATTTATATTTATAAAAAGTATTCCAGGTGATTAGTATGGGCAGACACAGTTGAGAATCATATCCTTTATAATAAAAGGCTAGTATGCAAATCAACCAAACGGAAGAACGACTGGTAACTATGATGTGCACTGACCACCAGGAGGAAGACACTCAATGCAGGAGCTGCCTGCTGGTGGTCAGTGCACTCCCACAGGGGGAGCACCACTCAGCCAAAAGCCGGGCTCAGGCTGGTGGCAGGAGAGGCTTCACAGCAGAGCTAAGCGGACACCCCCCCTGTGGTCCCGGACTGCGAGAGGGCACAGGCCAGGCTAACGGACCCCCCTCCCCAGAGTACATGAATTTTGTGCACTGGGCCTCCAGTATTTAAATAAAAGGTAAGAAACCCAAGTAATAAAGTAACACTTGATTGAAATTGGTTCAGATTCAAATGATGATAAAAGAATTAAGAGAAAATTCAATGCTCTCCTGGGGATCTCCATTGGTGGCAATTTTATATACTGCTACCTTTTTCATTATTTGGTAATTACTCTTACGATAGTTTAATGTTTATATTTTTTTGGCTATAAATCACACTTAAACATCATTTATTATTATACACATCTCCCTATGCACCAAAAGTAAAAGGCATTTTTAATATCTTTTTTTAGCACTCAGATTCTACTCAGAGAAGCATACATCTCAAAAAAATAAAAAAAATCCATACCAGTCTTCAATAAGGAAAGCCCAAAAAACATTAGTCTGAGAGTTCAACAACTAGAAAACTTCTGTTGTCCTTTTTCTAATGGAAATTTAGGTATGCAATATTAGAAAATGTTTTCTTGAAAATTATATTCACTCAATATAATTCATTCAATCGAAAAAGGATTGCTTTGAATAATAGAAAATAGTGTTTTTAATACCAGAAAGGAACAAATTAATTGCACATTAGGGGAGGCTAAACATAAAGTAAATCTGCCTAACTTAAGGTTTGTAGAAAACCTTAGGTATTCTTTTTTTCAAACCATCAATGTATAGAAATGTTATTCATGATAACACTGACACAATGCCTCTTGGGACAGGCTGATACTATGGCTCTAGACTGTGCAGGTTTCAACATTTTTACTTCCGGAAGACAGAAATGAATTGTATATGATAATTAGAGGCCTGGTGCATGAAATTCATGCATGGGGGAGGGGGATCCCCTTAGCCCAGTCTGTACCCTCTCCAATCTGGGACCCTTCCAGGGATGTCCGACTGCCCATTTAGGCCCGATCCCAGTCGGACATCCCTCTCATAATCCAGGACTGCTGGCTCCCAATGCTCACCTGCATGTCTTCCTGATTGTCCCTAACTACTTCTGCCTGCCAGCCTGATCACCCCCTAACCAGTCCCATGCCAGCCTGATTGATGTCTAACTGCTCCCCTGCCAGCCTGTTTGCCCCCAACTTCCCTCCTCTGCTGGTCTGGCCGCCCTTAACTGCCCTCCCCTACAAGCTTGATCGCCTTCAACTGCTCTCCCTTGCTGGCCATCTTGCAGTGGCTTCTTGTACCCACACGGGGGCAGGATCTTTGACCACATGGGTGCAGCCATCTTGTGTGTTGGAGTGATGGTCAATCTGCATATTACTCTCTTATTAGATAGGATAGAGGCCTGGTGCATGGGTGGGGGCCAGCTGGTTTGCCCTAAAGAGTGTCCCGGATCAGGGTGAGGGTTCTCTTTGGGTATGGGGTGGCCTTGGCAAGGGGCCTGTGGTGGTTTGCATGCTGGCCACATCCCCTGGCAACCCAAGCTGAGGTCCTGGTTTCAGGAATTACCTTCTACAATTGAAACTTTGTAGCCTGGAGTGGAGCCAAGCTCCCTGCTCACTAGGCTGCCCCTATTTCTGTTTGGTTTTATGTATCTTCTATAATTGAAACTTTGTATCCTTGAGTGGAGTCTAGACCAGCCAGGGCAGGTGGAAAGCTTGGCTTCCTCTATTGCCTCTCAACTGCCCTCTGTGGCTGCAGCCATCTTGGTTGGGGTTAATTTGCATACTTACTCTGATTGGCTGGTGGGTGTGGCTTGAGTGGAGTGATGGTTAATTTGCATATTACTCTTTTATAAGGTATGATATTTCTCAGTTATTAAAATGCAAGATGTTATACTGCCCATATTTCCCAATACCAAAGCAAATGACTTTTTCTGAATCCTCTTATTTAATAACATAAAAAAAAAAACCCTCACAAACAGAAGGGCTTAAAAAGTACACAATAAACTATGATTTGCCTATTAAAAATTATTTAAGCATGAGTATTCAGTGCTTGTTTTAATTTTCAAATTAAAACAGTAAAATTTTTATTTAATTTTATAATCACTATTCTTGTGATTAAAAAGAAGGCATTAAGAAAAATATCAATTCACAACTTATTTTAAGTAGAATTGCCATTCATAAAATGTCTAATAAGAAGTAAAGAGCCCTATAAAAATGTCAAATCAATATTTGTCTCCACAAAGAGACAAAGGTTTATATTTTTTACACTAATGCAATACAAAAAGTGCTAAATCATATCCTTAAATTGCTCAAATGCTCACACTATACCATTTCTACATCACAGGCCTCATATAATATTTTGTTTCTTATATAGCAAAAATAAACTCAAACTAAATTCTTCTTTTACAAGTGTTAGCAACCTACTTGTTCAAGAAAGATTAAGTACCTAAGTAGGTTTAAATTTTTCAGAAGAAATTCATTATTACTCATTTTCCTTACATCTCCCAATATGCTGTGAAGATGCAAATTGAAGGCAGTGGTACAAGGAATCACTTTAAAACTAAAAGTTACATGAAAGAAAGCTTCTTATACATAAGCTTTAGTGTGAATTTTTAAGTCTATCCATCAGTATTTTTATACTCATCTATTATAAAATGAAGGCCTGTTCATTTTATCATACTGCCCAAATGGCATTTCAGGTATTTCTGAAAAAAGTCAAGGAAGAATAAAAACTATATACCTGATGGCAGAATTTGGTCTCGTTCTTTTAATGTAATCCATGGCCTCGGAGGAAGCTGCTCTGGATGAACTGAAAAGAAAAAAAAATTAATAGTTATTAAAAATTAATAAGTTAATTTCATATGTTCCTAAAATCAGTATCATTTATGTTATAATGTCAAGTCAACTTTTCTTCTCTTCAGCTATAATGAACCAAAAGCCCAATTAAAAATATACTATTTATATATAAAAATTTAGAAACCAAAGGAAGTTTAAAATGAGCTATGCAAAAAACACATAACTAATATATAAAAAATAATATTAGAAACTCACTGGCACTTCCACTTACATAGTATTTATGAAAAGTATCTATTTAAAACTTTAACCAGATTCTTATGTCTTAATTACACATTGACTCAGCCTTGTTCTCTGCAGGGAAATCAAAGCTATTTAGAGTTCCAACATATTAATGAACTAAAATACTCAAATCTCTTTAAAATAGGAAAAACATACATATATGAATGGATAATAAAAATTAATACATTTTCTAATGGGGTTTTCATTTTCTAATTTAAATCTTTCTTTCATAATGTCTATGCAAAGCAAGAGATTAGAAGTAGGTTGTACAGAAAAAAGAAAGGCATTGGTTAAATATTAATTGCTCAGATATAGTTATCAATACCATGAACTAAATGCTACCCAACAATCAGATGAAAGAAAACTCATTAAGTTGAATTTTTTCCTTTAAAAAAAAATTCTTATTGATTTCAGAGAGTAAAGGAGAGGGAGAGACAGAAACATAATGATGAGAATCATTGACCAGCTAGCTGCCTTTTGCATGCCCCTCACAGGGATAGAGCTCGCAACCTAGCATGTGTCCTGATGGTGAATTGAACCATAATCACTTGGTTCATAGGTTATGATGCTCAACCAGTGAGCCACACCAGCTGGGCACTAAGTTAAGATTTAACTACCCCCCTTTCTTCTTTTTAAAAACATTTTCAATTATATAACAATTTGATGCAAGTTATTTGCGCAGGGTATTTAGTGGCTGAGAAATGTATTCTTTTAAAACAAATACATATCATCTTCATCCAGCCACAAAAATTTTCATGCAAATACCAAAGATCTTAAAAAATGTCAGTTTACTAACCAATTCTTGTGTCAAAAGTTTATCTAAAAGATGCCTGTCTTAGCATCTATACTTTTCAAAAATATTAAATGAACATTACTTTGTATATTCCATATAGTGCCAGGAAAGGGATTAATGTTATTATGACCAGAGGCCTAGTGTAAGAAATTTGTGCACTGGTAGGGTCCCTAGTGGGGCCTCCCTCCCTTCCCCTGGCCACCTACCACTGCCTCCGGCCAGGGCCTCCCTTACTTCCCCCAAACAGCCTCACCCCTTGGTTGAACTCCTGGAAGAACTCCTGGTAGAGGGGACAATTTGCATACTATGCTGTTATTATATAGGACAAGCAAACCGTTCGGCTAGTTCAACATACTGAAATGTGAAAAATAATCATGCCTGCTAGGAGTGCCATGTCAAAATCATGGTAACTATCTCAAAAATGAAAGCCCAATATACAAATACATTGAAGGTACACATGACACTTTCTAGCATTGGGATCCTTAGTAAGTGGTTAAAAATGTATAAATCAAGAAAATTCTCAAAATGAAACAAGTAATGTAATGTCAACATTTTGGTGCTTCCTAAATCTTAAAATAATATACTTAACTACTACATCACTGTAAGTAAAATGCATAGTATTCACTAAAAATATTTGAAGATCTAAAAACAGGAAAAGACTGTATCTCCAGTAATTAGAAAGCAGAAAAAGGTAATATAGCATGTTTTTATCCAGGTTAAAAAAAAACAAACTTAATTTTACTGATACCCATGGGTGATAATATATGGTGAAACATATAATTACATGTACAAGTGATAGGAATAAAAACTGGCATAGCTATCTGAGAGGATTAAGTGAATCATGTTTTAAAATTTAAAACATCCATGTCCCTGAGACAAAAATTCTATTTCCTGGGATCAGTCCTATCTGCTTAAAGCAGTATTCAAGTAGATATTCATTACACCATTGTTTAAAATATCTCAAACAATGGTAAGTGGCTAATACCCATAAAACTCAAAGCTGCTTGAGTTCATTTAAAGGGAAAAAATTATTAGATACATGTATACTAAAGTGAAAAGATATATAAAAACACCGGTGAGCCTGGCTGGTGTAACTCAATGCTATGAATGAGGAGGTCACAGATTCTCAGCCAGGGCACATGCCCAGGTTGTAGGCTTGGACCCCTGAAGGGGGAATGCAAGAATCAGCTGACCAATGGTTCTCTCTCTCCCCCTCTCTGTCTCTCTCTCTCTCCCCCTCTCCTCTCTGAAAATCAATAAAGATATATATATATATTTTTTTTTTTTAAATACTGTTGAGTACAAAAAAAAGGAGAAAAATCTAATAAGATATTTAATTTATTATACAAAGTTTTTAAAGCATACTTAAAAAGTTATACTATAAAATTTCTACTGGTATAATTTTTAGATGTTAATGCCTACAAGAATACACACTCAACTTAGAAGTATGTTTATTTACAGAAGTAGTAGGAAATATTTTTTCTGCCAAGGGCCATCTGGACATTTATAACATCATTCATGGGCCATACAAAATTATCAACTTAAAAATTAGCCTGCTATATTTAATCAAACATTTAATTCATCCCTAATACTTTGGGAGGGCCAGACCAAACGATTCCTCAGGCCTTATATGGCCCGCAGCTGGACGTTCCCCACCCCTAATTTACATGGATAAAACTAGAATTAAAGATATTAGTAAAAGAAAATTCTAGTCTTAACAGGAATTTTAACATTTTTTACAATGAGAATATATTTAAGAGTGACATATATTTTAAAAATCTATTTATTTCATTTTGTATTATGAAGTCTTTGGTCTTGTTTGTTAATTCCACTTTTGAGTATGGAAAATTCTAACATATATAAAGGTATAGAGAGCATCATATACTGAATCTTTAATATCCATTATCCAGATTCAATAATTACAAATCCTTAAATAATCTTGATTCATCTATTCTTCAATTTATTCCCTATACATGGATTATTTAAAGCTGATCTCAAACATTTCATGTCTTCAATAAATGTTTTAGTATGTCTCTCTAAAAGTTACTGATGACAACATTATCACATCTAAAAACAAATTAACAGTGCTTTCTAAATATCAAATCTCTAGACAGTATTCAAACTTTCTTCACTCTCACTTTTGTATAGCTATGTACTGATTGCCATTTTCTTAATTGTTTTTCATCCATTTTTATAGTTCTTCTCTATTCCTTTCTTCTTCGGCAATGTGGATGAAATAATATTGCTGATGACAACTCTAACAGAGCCCCAGTGAGCAAACTCAGCAGCACTAGGCATGGCTTGTCCACACTAAGGGTGTCGCCCTATGTCTGGAAGAGCTGACAGATCCTACAATGCTAAAATTAAATGGGGGTGGGGTTGGGGGTAAGGGAGGAGGGAGAGAGCTGGAAGAGGTTAAAGGGGGGAAAGGGAGAATTTATGTAATACCTTCAACAATAAAGATTAAAAGAAAAAGAAAAAGAAATAATAGATAAAAATAAATAAAACTAAACTGGGCAACTATCTGCTAAAATTGAGATTTATTTAAAAAACCAAGAGTCTCCTAACATTATATTCCAAATATCCAGGATACAACTGAAAAATCACTGCTCATACCAAACACCAGGAAAAACATACATTAAAAAAAAGACTCTAACAAATGCCAACAGAGATCATTTAGATTTGAAATTATATGACAGATTTTATAGCAGCCATTATAAACCTGTTTCAGAAAATGATAAATTCTCTTGAAATAAATGGGGGGGGGGAAGCAGAAAACTACAGCAAAGAAGCATAAATGATATTTTGACTTTTTTTTTTTTTTGAAAGACCAAATTGGGTTCTCAGAAGCTATCTGATGACAGGGGCAGAGATCAGAGCGATGCACTAAGAATAAGAATTTGGGATGTCTCTGAGAAGCTCAGAGCGAAGCCTGCAACAGATTCTTTCCTAAGCCTTCGGGAGGGAACCAATCCTCTTGACACCTTGATCTTGGACATCAGATCCACGGAACCAGGAGAATTTTAAGTGTTATTTATAAAAGAAACAATGCTTTGTTCTGAAACTTGGACATCTGGGGCATCACCTCACTCACTAAAACCTGAGTTTTTGTACAATCATGTCTTGGTGGCCAGAGCAGCCACCTAGATGGGCGGAGGTGTTTTCACCATGGCCAAGATCAAACGTCACATCAGTGCCCAGAAGGAGAAAGAACACACCCCATATGTTATGCCTCCAATTCATGACCCTTCCAAGGGTAAATACCCTAGTATGTTGTGTTTTACTTCTGTTTCCCTAAAAATTAAAGTGCCTTTCAAAGTGAAATTAAATAAATAAATAGGACCAAATTGGAATTATTGAACTGAAAAATACAATAAACCAACAAAACTCACAGGAAAGGCACAATAATAAAGATTTAAAAAGATAAAATAACTGAATTTAAGAATCAACAGAATTTGTTCAATATGAATAAAAGAAAATAAACTGGGGCAAGGGGGAGGAGGGACCTGTGGGACTATAACAAAAGCTCTAAGATTCATATCATCGTAGTGCAGAAAAAGGAAAGGACATGCATTTCAGCAATATTCTTAAGAAATAATGACTAAAAATTCCCAAATCTAGTAAATGACATATAGCTACAAATTCAAGGTAAACAAACTTTAAGTGGAATAAACCCGAACAAATCCACACCAAGACACTTTATAATTAAAATGATGAAAACTAAAGACAAAGGCTCTCAAAAACATCAAAGAGAAAGAACATATTACTTATAAAGAAACAATGAGTTTCTTTTCTGAAAATCGGGTGGCCAGAGAAACTGGCAGAATATTTTTCAAGTGCTGAAAGAAAAGAAGCATCAACTGTGAATTCTATATTAAATGAAACTATCCTTAAGAAATCAAGAGGAAATAAAGATTTTATCAAAGGAAAACTAAAAGGCTTTGTTGCTAGCACTCCTGTCCTTGAAGAATGACTAAAAAAAGCTTTGTAAACAGAAAGAAAATAACAAAAGAATTGGACCACCAAAAAGAAAAAAGAAAAAAAACAAGGAAAGAGTAAAAAATTAGGGGTAAAAAAGAATAGGTTATCCTTCTCCATACCAGCTTCTTAAACCATATTGATAGTCGAAGCAAAATTTACAAAATCTGTGTGGCTCTCAGTATAAGCAGAGAAAACACTAGAGAACCAGTATATTTAAAAGGGGGGAGGTGGCCGAAGCCAGTTTGACTCAGTGGTAGAGTGTCGGTCTGCGGACTGAAAGGTCCCAGATTCGATTCCGGTCAAGAGCATGTACATTGGTTGCGGGCATATCCCCGGTAGGGGATGTGCAAGAGGCAGCTGGTGGATGTTTCTCTCTCATCGATGTTTCTAGCTCTCTATCTCTCTCCCTTCCTCTCTGTAAAAAAAAAATCAATAAAATATATTTTAAAAAATAAATAAAAATAAATAAAAGTGGGGAGGCGAAAGAAACATAAATGGAAGTAAGGAATCATCAACTCATTTAAGTGCTAAAACACTATCTGTAGACTGTGCTAAGTATGGATATTGTGTTACTAGAGTGATCACTAAAAAAACTATCAAGGGAATATACTCAAAACAGCAAAAATAAAACAAGATGGAATTCTGAAATATGTTTAAGGAATCCAATGGAAAACAAAAGGAGAAAGAAAATCACTAATAAAATGGTAGACTTAAGTTCTATATATTTATAATTAACTAGAGGCCCAGTTGCACGAAATTTGTCATGGGTGTGTGTGTGTGTGTGTGTCCCTCAGCCCAGCCTGAGTTTGTAATTCCTGCCAATAATGAATCCCAGGGTAGTGGGACATTGTTCTTTTCTTACACTGATTGGTTTCTGTTTACCAAACAATATGAAAGGAGCTGTAGTTATTATACATTATCTCTTTTAATCTTTCTAGGAACCTAGGAGGTAGGAATTTTTATTGGCCTTATAGGCAAATTCTAAGATTCAAAGAATAAAGCAACTTACCCAAGAAAAGACAACTAATTAATGACAGAGCCATGAACCCAAGATTGTCTTGCTCTTAATTACAAAGATAAATGGTTACCAGTTTGAATTTAATGCAGATTATGTAGAACTAATACATTGTGTACATTTTTCATGAATGAGATATGACTAGTTTGATTCTCTACACATTTGTGAAAATTTTATTAGCAGAATTTTAATTAAGAACACCAGATTTATCTAATATAGTTGTATTCCAAATGGAATTTTTTTTATAAGAAGGCTAATAAGTATTTGACTTATTTTTTTATTTTTTTAACATGTTTTTATTGATTTCAGAGAGGAAGGAAGAGGGAGGGAGAGACAGAAACATCCACGATTAGAAAGTATCATGAATTGGCTACCTCCTGAAAAGTCACCCATTGGGGATTGAGCATGTGCCCTTGACCATAATCGAACCCAGGACCCTTCAGTCCGCAGGCCAATGCTCCATCCAAGAGCCAAATCGGCTAGTGCTTGACTTTTTTTTTTTTTTTTTTCTTAAGACTCAAAATACGGGTAAAAGTATAGAAATGCTACTAAATTCAGATTTTTATTAAATAATGCTTTTCTAAAATAGAGAATCCTGAAATAGCTAGAGGAATCTAGATTTCAACAAAGAAGCCATCCTATCTAATAAAGAGAGAATATGCTAATTGACTATTAGTCCATCACAAAGATGGCTGCACCCACAGCTGAGGTCTAGTTCTCATAAGGAGCCTTAACTAGCAATCAGCAGGGACCTGAGGCTACACCCTCTCCCGCCTCTGTGGGTCTTGACAAGGGACTCAGGGCACATCCCCCACTCAGCTGGACTTGATTGGGGACCTCAGGCCGCACCCCTCACCCCAGTGCCAGGCCAGGGAACCTGAGGCCACGCCCCCTCGCCAGCAAGGCTTGACGGAGCATCTCAAGGTGCACTTCCCATCCTGGTGCTGGACTAGGGGACCTCAGACTGCTCACCCTGCCCCAACTCCAGGCCTGAGGACCTCAGGCCGTGCCCCCCACCCAGGGACCTCAAAGTGCACCCCCAGTGCTGGGTTGGGGGAACTCAGGCCACGCCCTTATTGAGCGGGGGCTTGAGGGGGACCTGAGGCTGCGCCCCCCTCCTGGTGTTGGGCCAGGGGACCTGAGGCTGTGTCCTCCTGCCTGGTAGGGCTTGACAGGGGACCTCAGGCCATGTCCCCCACTTGGCGGGGCTTGACGGAAGACCTCAAGACACACCTGCTGCCCCGTTCTGGGCTGAGAGATCTCATGCCATGTCCCCCATCCTGGTGCCTGGCCAGGGGACCTGAGGCTATGCCCTCTGCCTGGCAGGGCTTGACAAGGGTGGGACTGGCCAGGTCTGGATCTAGCTTAATGGGAGGGGGGAACCTGGCTGGATCTGGGTCTCATACAATTTTGAGGTTTATGTGGGTGGGCGGGGTCTTGACTCTGGGTCCCATGGTGTGCTCCAGACTGACAGGATGGTTTTCATACATATTTTACTAATTCTCTTTCATCTTTCACACTTCTATTATAGAGAAAGGGCAAATAGCAATATTGAATTATTTTCTCTAATTAATCCCCTTTTAATGTGTACGAATTTCATGAACCAGGTCACTAGTTATCACAATATTTGGCTATACTTTTGGAAATTCTCTCCATGATAGAGGACACTTACATACAAATTTTTTTTAAATAGTAAGATTTATAATAAGGTAAAACTAGATTAATATCTAAATAACTAGAGGCCCAGTACACGAAATTTGTGCACTTGGCGGGAAGGTCCCCTCAGCCTCGCCTGCACACTCTCACAATCCAGGAGTCTTTGGGGATGTCCAACTGACATATCCTTAGCACTGCTGCGAAGGTGGGAGAGGCTCCTGCCACCGCAGCTGGTCTCACCAGACATGAGCCTGGCTTCTGGCTGAGTGGTGCTCCCCCTGTGGGAGCACAATGACCACAAGCTCCTGCGTTGAGCATCTGCCCCCTAGTAGTCAATGTGCATCATAGTGGCCTGTGGTTCCACTCTTTGGTCAATTTACATATTAGCCTTTTATTATATAGGATGCTTGACTATAATGACTAAAAGTTTTGATAGGAGAGAGATAAACTTATTAGAGAGGTATTTTTAGTAAAAATTTAAGAGTATTTGGCTGTATACTTATTATGTGTATGCTATTCTCTTCTTGCTTTAAAATTAAATATCTCTCATGTCTATGACCCAGCAATAGGGGATCTGTGTAGTTTGTGGGTATAATTTTATATGTTTTAGAGATAAGCTATTTGTTGGTCTATATATTGCAGATACCTTCTCCCATGGCGTTATTTGCTTTTTCACTCTCTTAATTTATCTCTTGGTGAACCAAAAAATTATAACATCCTTAAGTTTGTTGATCTTTTCTATTAAGGTACTGCTTTTGTGTCCTTTTTAAAAAATTTTTCCTACCTCAGGCACATGAATGTATTTCCCCAAGTTATTATCCAAAAACTACATTTCTTACTTGTAACTAATGTTATAACTAATGTTATAAGTAAGAAATGTAGTTTCTTCTCCTTCTCCATAAATCAATAAAAACATATCCTCAAATGAGAATTTTTTTTTTAAAAGGTCTGATGCTCTTAAGCAATATGTGACATATTAATCAATAGTAATATCTGTAGAGTTTACGGCTTTGTCATTAATAATTACCTGCAAGATTGTCAAGCATGAAGTTCAGTAGCTTTCGGGTTCCATCTGGGTCCTGGTACAAATTGAGAATATCCTGTGATAAAGGATTGCCTAAAGCAGAAGACAAAAATACAATCTGTAAGACGTATAACAGTAAGACCAGACAAGTGTACATAATACAAAAAAATTGTTTTTATAGTGAATTTTACTATATATAATCTAAACATAAATGTAAATAAATGTGAATTTAAAGAAATACTTTAAGATATTCAAAAAGAAAAACTTCAAGTTATTTCTTTCCATATTTCACTATTTATACTATATCCCTATAATTTGTCAAAATCACATGTATACATAGACACATAGCATGTAAATATTAATCTAAGTAAATTCTGAAGTATGGTAATATCACAACTGGCACTTGAAGTAATAACTGGCCTGCGGACTAGGTTCTAACTTTATCTTTGAAGACAATATTATAACTGAGAAACAAAAAAGTCTGGTATGAGAAAGAATGAATGATATGAAAAAGAGGGAGGCCCTAGCTGGTTTGGCTGAGTGGATGCAGCAATGACCTGTGGACTGAAGGGTCTGATTCTGGTCAAGGCCATGTATCTCAGTTGCAGGCACTTGGCCAGGGAGGCAACCAATGAATGTGTCTCTACATTGGTGTTTCTCTCTTCTATTGTCTCTAAAAATCAATGGAAACAAATATCCTCAGCTAAGGATTAAAAAAAAAAAAAACGAGGGAGAATATTTATCTAATATTTATTAGAATAAATGTATTACTTATAATATTTATGTTACATATGAGAAAAGAAAAGACATTTCATGTGGAAAAAAAAATTATTACCAAGATGAGTTAGTAAACTGTGAGAGGGAAGTAGGAAAGTAATTTTTATGATATTGATCAGGAATATCTGAGTATTAGGACTACAGGTTTATCAAATACCAAAAAACAAGCTATTACTAACAGTCTCTATATTCTCTTAAGAAATAAAGGAGGTATTTGTCAAGTAAGCATGCAAGAGCAGCATTGTAAACAGATTTGAAAAACAAAAAAAAACAAATTCCAGAAATGAAAGTCCTATCTATTAAACAAAATCTTCAATGCAGCACCCACCCACCAATTTGGCTAAAATTAAAAAATATTAACCACCAAAGTGTTAGAAAGAAATGTGGAGTACTTCTAACTCTCATAAGTTGCTGGTGGAAATGTAAAATTACTATCCAAAAGCCTTAATTTCCAAAACCCTTGAAAGTAGGAAAAGGGCCGAAGCTGGTTTGGCTCAGTGGTAGAGCGTCGGTCTGCAGACTGAAAGGTCCCAGGTTCGATTCCGGTCAAGGGCATGTACATTGGTTGTGGGCACATCCCCGGTGGGGGGTATGCAAGAGGCAGCTGGTCGATGTTTCTCTCTCGTCGACGTTTCTAGCTCTCTATCTCTCTCCCTTCCTCTCTGTAAAAAAATCAATAAAATATATTAAAAAAAAGAAAGTAGGAAAAGGAACTGTTCTGGGATGACAAAAATGCTGAATCTGAGCTAAGTAGTGTTTCGATGCGGGCTCGATTTCCAGCATGCAGGAGGCAGCCAATCAGTGATTCTCTCTCATCACTGATGTTTCTCTCTCTCCTTCTCCCTTACTCTCTGAAATCAATAAAAAATATATATATATTTTTAAAAGGGTAAAGAAAAGTTTTGCCTCTTCTTGCAGGGGAAGGGAGAATGTAATGTCTCTTTAACAAGTCCTACCCACATGGAAAATAATTTACCAGAATATGATAAATTAGGATTTTACCAAAACTTAATCAACCTGGGGTAAGAGAAATACCCCATACTCCAGGTCCCTGTAGCCTACTGTGGGTGCGGGTAAAACTAGCTCAGGCTCACTAAAAAACAGACCTAATCATAAATCTTCAGAACTCTGTCTCAAGTAACTGCAAGCCTTCGACCCTACTTAAAGATTCTCTGGGAAAACACAGGGACAACAGAGGATAAAAGCAAGGAAACTAGAGGAAAATTTTGATTCTAACATACAGCTACTATAATAAATAGTAAACACAGCCTAACTCCTAGCCAGAGAGTTGAGAGAGAAGAGGCAATATTTGGGGGTAGAGGGGCTAAAACTTTCAAAACCTTGTTAAAAATTTTACAAGGAAAAAGAATCTATTGCCACAGCCCATTTTATTTTAAGGGAGCTAAGAAATTCTTAGCAGAAACCTAGAATTTTCACAATTATTAAAGTTCTTAATTTTTTATGACATCAATGCCTGGGCACATTATGTCAGAAAAAATATTGCCCGACACATTAGTACCTGAATTCTACATTATTTAAAATAGCTGTGTGAGAACTGCTCTTATATCTTTTCTTCCATTAAATCAATACATTTTAGACTTTTAAGTAACTAAAGAGAACACTTCCAATTTACTGGACTAACTATTTCTCTAGTTTTAAAATTGGCCTTTTTATCTTATTTCTCAAATACCCTACCCTTCCATACACATTCTTTAAATCTCAAAATAATTTTTAGAAATAGAATTTCTAAAAATTAGCTTATTGGGCCAAGATAATCAAAATCATTATCAAAACTTCAGTATCTGTGTTTCAGAGGTAGACAAGGAAATAGAAAAAAAGGCACTCCTTTTGCCAGTTTCAAGACAAAATGGAATTTTAAAAAAGAAAAAAAGGCATCCCAGAGGTAATTCATTCTCATTGTTTCATTTACATATATCACAGTGCTTTTTTAAAATTTCCATTGCATTATCTTCTCCTTTTTTAACACAAAGTACCACAATGTGGTTACTAAAACTGATTAAGAAATTATTTCAAGTTTTACCTTCCTAAGCATATTTCATTAGGGACATTTTATTCCTTTATTTGCTTTATGGAGCCAATCCCATTTCTACCCTCCTCAACTTTTGAAAGAAGGCAGAAAGCACTTATTTTCTTTCATTTCTAAAAGGTGCTTGCTCTTCTGGATCACCTGAACAATAAATGGCATTGCCAGAAAAAGAGGCTCTAATATAATAGGTATTTACCATAGAACAAACTAAAGTTTAATGAAAAGGAATATATAGTATATCCATGAACAAAGCTGAATTAAAGTTGGCAAAGCAGAGCTGGTGCCTCATCCAAAAGACTACTGGTCTAAGAAGAGATTTTAACAACTATGAATCAGTAGTCAAAAGGGCCCTAGGATCAAAGTCCAGACAAAGAGAATACAGTAGTCTTCATCTTATTATAGCTTCAGAGACATGATGGTCAACCCAGGTCCAAAAATATAAAACAAAATTCTAGAAATAAACAATTCATAAGTTTTAAATTAGATGCTGTTCTCTAAGTGGTATAATGATATCTCGTGCCATCCCATCCAGATCATGAATCATCCCTTTGTCCAGTGTAACCACGGTGGATACCCTACCTGCCTGTTAGCAGCATCTCAGTTATCAGATCAACTATAGAGGTATCACAGTGCTTGTGTTCAAGTATCACTTGTTTTACTTAAAAATGCCACAATGCTTTTTGCAATTCAGTAGTACTCTTTGCAATTCAGATGTGCCCAAGAGAAGCCATAAAGCTCTTCCTTTAAGTCAGAAAGTGAGTATAACACAATAAAATATCTAAAAATTATGCAATAACTTTTACTGCAGTATTTTTATAATTGTTCTATTTTATTATCAATTGTTCATCTCTTACTGCATGAATTCATAAACTTCATCACGGTTATGTATGCACCAATGGCCCAGTGCACGAAATTTATGCACATTAAAAGAAAATTAGAGCAAATATTTTAATATTGCTATTTGTCCTTTCTCTATAATAGAAGTGTCCAGAGATGAAAGAAAATTAGTAAAGTGTATGTGAAAATCTCCCTCCTATCAGAATCTGGGGTGTGCAGCAGGACCCAGAGTCAAGTCCCCGCCCATGCACTCATGCTTCTGGTAGGACCTAGAACCAGTCAGCCCCACCCACATTGGGGGAGATTCAGACCTGGCTAGCCCCACCCCACTCAAACCCTGTCAGGCAGGGGCATGGCCTCAGGTCTCCAGTCAAGCCTTGCCTGGTGGGGGGTGCAGCCTCAGGTCCCTGCTGTTCCAGTCACTACAGCCACAGCATGATGACTACTTGCATATTAGTCTTTTATTATTATGATAGGAAAAAATAGTGCATATATAGGGTTTGGTATTATAATTGGTTACAGGCATCCCCACTGGGGGGATCTTAGAACATACCTTCTGCAGATAAAGGCTACTGTAATTTAGAAGACTAACATTTTAACCAGTAAAAGGACTAAGAAGATAATAGATATTCAGAATGATACATTCAGTTGATACTTAATATAAATTTTCTGGGAACATGTCTATATATGAGATAGCATGGACTAGAGTTATGAAACAGTATATGTAATACATGGTTTTTCAAGAATGTTAAATGCAGTACAAAGGGTAAGTCCACTGGGCTCAATAGTAAATTATTCATTTATCATTATCATTATACTAACAATAGTCAACATAAAAGTATGAATTTCATAATTCTAGAATATAAGATTATAAAAGAATGACAACCATTCCATAATTATTTTTAGTAAGGAACAGACCTGCTTCTACTCCAACTCTACCTGGATGACTATTTTAACCATATTTATAAAAATAAGTTATAGCATATATAGAATTAGGTAAAATATCCCAACAGTTAAATTTTACATGCCTTGGATTAATTTTCAAAGAAAATATTTTTCCACTTCATATATAATTTTAAAAATCCAAAATATCCTACAGAGAAACTAAAAACTAAGACTTAACCATTCCTATAATTATATAATTTATCAAGGGTTAACTGTATAAAGAAGCCTTTTCTGTCATTTCAACCAATAATGTCAACATTCTTTTCAATCTTATTCAAGTTTCTCTTTTTAATGCTCCATTATATGACATAAACAAATGCAAACAAAACATGTTCATGAACACTCAATCTCTGAAGGAGGAAAACAAAATACATGAAAGCATATACTTTATATGGCTTTAATTAATGTTTACTCCTCAAGAGCACAGAATAAAATGTTTAACCAATACAGTACATCTATATTTAGTCCTCTGAATTTAAATTAACCCCTCTTCTTTTAAGAAAAAAACTCTACAAAAAATTTCAGTATTTATGTAAATTGAGTATGACTTTCTTTTCAAGCTAATCTTGAGATAAAATTATTAGTGGAGCATGTATTTTGAATTAATATATTTTATTTAGAATAATTATACTCACTAGGTATAGTTCATTTTTACTGTTACAATGTTTTTCCTCTTACAATAATATTATATGTTAATACTATTTTATGTACTCTATGAATATCTGACATGGAATATTCCAGCTATTAAGTCATTGAAGAAAAAAAAAACACAACAGAAAAAAACTATTATTAATTTGAAATGTCTCTTCTAAGAAAGTTTAGCGTTTCATAGAAAGTTAAAGATAAAAATAAAAAACATTCCCCCACAAAAGTTTGTTAAAAAGATGGCTGCATGTTGAAATCCTGAAACATAATTCAATATCATAGAACCACTTTTTTATTTAAAAAATAAGTATGTCATAGTCCCATTTTCAAAATTATACTAAAACCTAACCTAGTAATTTAAATGGTCTTTAAAATACATATTTTATTTATTGTTTATAGAGAGGAAAGAAGAGGGATACAGAGCTAGAAACATTGATGAAAGAGAAACATTGACCAGCTGCCTCCTGCCCACCTCCTACTGGGGATGTGCCCGCAACGAATGTACATGCCCTTCACTGGAATCGAACCTGGGACCTTTCAGTCCACAAGCCAATGCTCTATCCACTGAGCCAAACCAGCTTCAGTTTAAATGGTCTTTAAAGGGCTCAGTATACTCAATACTGAGTGTTAACACTATATTAAAAAAAAAAAAAAAAAATCACTCACCTTTCAAACCTAGAGTTTGTAGCTGGAAGAGCCGACCAAGTTCATAAGGCAAAACCCGTAACATATTGTTATTTAAAAGCAATTCCCTGTTTAAAAAAAAAAAAAAGTTTTAGTTGAATTTAACAAGCTTTATTAATATCTACAATTACTTTCTTAACCTTCCCTCTAACATAACATGAGCGCTGTATATATTCAAGGCACATTTTATATGCTTATGTAAAACTGTTATGTAATATTAAAGTACTACAAAATGTGTAATTGCCACAACTAACAGTGTTTCTATAATTTACTCATTATTAAAGGTGTAGGAATTATATATCATTTTCAAGCTAAATCTACTCTCTTTTCTCTTTCATCCAAATGCCAGTGACAGATATTCTTAGTGTTCAAAGACAAACAGATATCCTTGAACCTAGTCTAATTCACAGAAAAAATATAATTTTTACAAAGTTCAGGATTTAACTATAATCATATAGTAAGAGGATGGTGAGTAATAAGACTTTAAAACAGTATGTTTCATTTTAAACATAGGATAAAAATCTTGTAAATTACTACTCAGCATATAAACAATATAGAAAAGCAATCCTAGTTTGTATTGGGAACATTTATTCAAGGTCTTAAGATTTCTAAAAATTTTTCTCCTATGGAGACATTCTTAAAGAACCCTGAAGGACTAGAAATAAATTCACTTATCAGGTTTTAAGGTTTCCTTAAGGACTTGTAACATGTAAGTACTAGAGGCCCAGTGCACGAAATCCATATATGGATAGGGTTCCTTGTGGCTGCCAAACGGGGCCTTCCTTCGTTCTGTGCCACCCCCTGGTGGTCAGCACACATCATAGTGAACGATTGAACTCCTGGTTGGTCGAACTCCCAAGGGGACACTTTGCATATTCGCTTTTATATATACAGAAGTTTATATGAAACAGAGATATGTTCCTAAAAGTTTTACTAATAAGTACATTATATTTTCCCAATTATTTCTGATTAGTCTTATGAGCATACACTTGAGCCAAAATTCAGATGTAGTATTGTATTTCCACCCTACCTAAAGTCTGTCAAAAGAACTTGGCAATATAAGCACATTTCTAGTCAGAAACCTCTCAATTGAAAGGAAGGAAAAGAAATGTTCATGGGAGGCCAATGCAAGCACTGTGTTCATTTGTGTTCATTATATCATTTGACCTTGGAAACACACATGGAAATCCTACTATAAGTAACATCCCATAATTTTCTAATTTGGTAAATTTAGAATTTCATATTGTAAGTCATATCTATAATATTTCCTCACCTGAGAGACACCATGTTTCCTAGTTCTGCTGGTAAACTTCTGAGTTTATTGGATGACAGATCCAGGTAAACCAGATTATGAAGCTTGGCAATATCAGGTGGAATGCGACTAAGAAAATTGTCATTTAGGTGCAGCGCTGTCAAGTGTGTCAATGACCAAAGTGATGTACTTAAGCTCCGCACTCTACCTAAAAGGCAAAATATTAAAGCATTAAACTCTAGGCCTAAGACAAAGACTGAACTACAAGAACTAAAAAGTGGTAGAAGAGCCTGCAAATATATACAAATATTGTATCTTTGACATTTAAATTTTACATTTAATGCTAGTTGACTGCTTCCAAACACACCTGGCCCTTCTTTAATGTCAGACCACTTTCCCTTGACAATCATTCTTTCTCATGGATCTTCTGTGTTAAATGAGATGAGGAATAATGGGAAGACCCTTAGAATCAGGTTGATTACATTTCTCAAGGAAAAAGCCTTGGTTGAATTGAGCAATAGATAATGACTTTTTTTTTTTTCTAGTCATAGTCCTAAACAAAATTATCTCATATGCTCCATAAAAATTAACAGTGTATGGTTTATCCATATCTAGGGCCCAAATTAGTCTACAAACTTAAATAGACAAGAGTAATGACTGTGATGTAGAATAGATCAACCTTAGATTAGCCACCAGGAAAATTATTTAACCCTCAAAAGACAAAATTATACATTAACTCTGGCTTAATATTTTCCATTAAGTAAACATACTCAAGGAAATAGTCACACATTAAGTTTTACAAATAGTCAGCATCTTATAGTTATGGTGGAACATGTACTAGAAAGTCAGAAAACATGGTTCAGATTCCTGATTTTTTGCTATTTACTAGCTACATAAGCCTGGAAAAATCACCTCGCCTCAGCTTCTATAAAATGTAATATTATCTTAATTTATATGAAGATTATTTTGTAAACTTTACAAAAGTAAAATAGTATTTAATTATATAATACTTTTCAAACAATTGATTTTTATTTAAAAAGTAGTGGGAGGTAAAGAGGGACAAAAATCTCAAAAGGGAAATGTTACTTTTTATGTACCTAATGAGCAGTAAATTTAAACTTAGACCTTCTGTCAAGGTTTTTTTTTCACGCTATCTATAATCAGACTTAAAATGCAAACTAGGATTTTGCATTTTAATAGAGAAACAAAGTTCCCAAGAGGAATGTATTTCAGTTTTACCCAGGATTTAACAGAATGGTTCTCAACCAGGGGAAATTTTGCTCCTAAAGTGACTTCAGCAATTTGGAGACATTTTGGGTATTCAAAACTAGGAAAGTGCTGCCCCAGCTGGTTTGGCTCACTGGATAAAGCGTCAGCCTGTGGACTGAAGGGTCCCAAGTTCAATACTGGTCAAGGGCATATGCCCAGGCCATGGGCTCGATCCCCAGTAGGGGGCGTGCAGGAGGCAGCCAATCAATGATTCTCTCTCATCATTGATGTTTCTATCATTCTCTTCTCTCCCTTCCTCTCTGAAATCAATAAAAATATATTTTTTTAAAAACTAGACAAGTGCTACTGACAAGTTGTGGTAGGAGCCAGAAAAGCTGCTAAACATCCTGTGATGCACAACAGCCCCCAACCACAAAGAATTGTCTGGATCTACATGTCAGCAATGCCAATTTGAGAAACTCTAGGTTAACTTAATAGGATTTTCTCATATTAATTCTTCTGATTATCTATCACTTATTCACCCAGTTCCCTTTTTAGCTAACTGCAAAGGTGATTTTTGCTATTGACACTATAATGTTGGTTTAATTCTTCCAAATGAAAGCCTATATAATCTGTGTTGCATATCAATTCATAAAAGAAAAACAGTACTCATATTCTATTTTAAATAAAATTTTAATTGTAACTAATAATTTTAGATATACAGAAAAGGTTCCATGATAATGCAGAGTTCTTATATACCCCTCATCCAATTTCCCCTAATATTAGTATCTTATATTAACATGGTACATTTGTCAAAACTAGAAATTAACACTGATACATTACTATTAATAAGCTAATTTGGATCTAACCCATTTTTTACACTCTGTGTTCCAAGATTTAATTCAAGATTTTGCATTTAGTCCTTCTGTCTCCTTAGTCTCTTCTTATGCATGACAGTTGCTCAGTCTTTCCTTGTTTTTCTGACCTTGACAATTTTGGGGACCATTTAGGCATTTTGAAGAATATCCTTTAATTAAGTTTACCTTTGTTTCTTATTATTAGACTGGGGTTAAACTTTTGAATAAGATTTTGGAAATTTTATTCAATTTTACCAAATCCTAAATATGTAAGGTTATATAACACAGTTATCACATGTGTTAGACTAAACAGACCTTCTAGATTTTCTACTCTGCCAACACTGAGATGATAGGAGAATGGCAAAGATTTCAATTTTCAAAAATAATTACTCTGTATAGGAAAAAGCAAAGTTAAAAAGTTAAAAATAAAAATAAAAATACTCTGCAATGGCTAAAACAAAATCTATCATATTAAAAAACCTGATTTTACTTAGAAACTGAACTCCCAGTAGGAGAAACCAAGATGGCAACATAGGTAAACACCTAAACTGCTGCCTCACACAACAATTTCAAAACTACAACTAAAAGACAAAACTAACATCATCCAGAATCACAAGAAAGCTGGTTGAATGGAAATTTTACAACTAGAAAGAAAGAGAAAAGCACACGGAGAATCAGAGGAGCTACAAAAGGCTGAGGTACAATGACACACACGTGCAGGCAGCTGAGTGGCTTAATCTAGCGGGAAGGAGACAAAAGCTCCCAACTGCACTGATCCCCAGTTCTTGTGGATCCAGGCTTACATGAGGGAGAATCTGGATTGTCAGGCAGAAACTCAGGGGAGCTTCAAAAGGAAAAGGTCTGGAGGAGTGTGCGCCAGTGAGCGAAGAGAGGACTGACTGCTGAGTGTGCCGCTGGTTTTCTCTAGTGGGTGGGAAATGGAGTGTGCTGAACTCCAGTTCTAGGCGAGAATCTGGGAATCCTGGAGAAACTGGATTGTCTGACAGTGGGCAAAACTCGAGGGCGGCTTACACTTAGAGGTGCTTGTAGCAATTACTGAGGGACACTGAGACACAAAGGCCTCATAGGGCAGGGCTGACGGGAAGCCTAGACTGTCTTCTCAGCTCTGAGACTCCGCCCCAGTCAAGCTGAACACAGAGGCTTTTGCAATTTTGCAAGTCTTGTCTCATAAGGCAGTCTCCAGCACAGAAGTTCTCCCATAGTAGACACAGCTCACCCTCACAGTCAACTGGACTGGAAGTCAACTTCCCCCAGTGATATTAACAACAATCTAGGCTTAACTACAACAAGACTGCACACACAGCCCACAAAAGGGCACACTAAGAGTGTCCACCTCAGGTAACTAGGGAGGCTGAGCCACTGGGCCCTGCTAGGACACCTAGCACACAAAGCTACTCTACCAACTCAGGGAAGCAGCCAAAATGCAGAGACAAAGAAACAGAACACAAATGAAAGAAATGGAGGAAAACAAACGACTGGATATAGAGTTCAAAACTACAGTTATAAGTTTTTTCAAGAACTTCCTAGAAAAGGCTGATAAATTTAACAAGACCCTCAAGGATATGAAAAAGGACCAATCAGAAATTAAGCACACACTAATTGAAATAAAAATTATTATACAGAGACCTAAAAGGAGACTAGAGGAAAGCAAAAACCAAGTCAGAGATTTGGAATACAAAGAAGCAAAAAATACTCAACCGGAAAAGCAAAATTCAAAAAGAATCCAAAAACTTGAAGATAGTGTAAGAAGCCTCTGTGACAACTTCACGCGTACCAACATCAGAATTATGGGGGTGCCAGAAAAAAAGAGAGAGCAAGACACTGAAAACCTATTTGAAGAAATAGTGACAGAAAACTTCCCCCACCTGATGAAAGAAATAAGACTTACCAGTTCAGGAAGTGCACAGAACCCCAAACAAAAGGAATTCAAAGAGGACTACACCAAGACACATCATAATTAAAATGCCAAGAGCAAAAGACAAAGAGAATATTAAAAGCAGCCAGAGAAAAACAGTTACCTACAAGGGAGCACCCATACAATTATCAGCTGATTTCTCAACAGAAATTATGCAGGCCAGATAGGAGTGGCAAGAAATATTCAAAGTGATGAATAACAAGAACCTACAACCAAGATTACTCTACCCAGCAAAGCTATCATTTAGACACCAAGCCAGAATTATTAATATATGGAATGCTAAAAGTATTCTTTAAGAAGAGGAAGAAAAAGATAAAGATAAAAATTATGAACAACAAATATATATCTATCAACAAGTGAATCTAAAAATTAAGTGAATTAAAAATCTGAGAAACAGAATAAACTGGTGAATATAATATAATCAGGGGCATATAAAGGGAGTGAACTGAAAATTTTCAGGGGGAAAAGGGTGTGGGAAGTACAGGAAGAGACTGGACAAAAATCGTACACCTATGGATGAGGACAGTGGGGGGAGGTAAAGGCAGAGGGTGGGGTGGGAACCGAGTGGAGGGGAGCTATGGGAGGGGGAAGAGGAACAATGGTAATAACCTGAACAATAAAGATTTGTTAAATTAAAAATAAGTAAAAATAAATAAATAAGTGCAAACAAAAACAAAAAAAGAAACTGAACTCCCAATGTCATCTTCAATTCCAGATGTCAATTCTGGCTCAAGATACTAATCTCAAAAGAAAGAATATGAACAAATATATTTAGTTATAGATAAAATAGAAAAATTAAACATTAGTATCTCAGCATATATTTTATTGATTAGTTCATCTAATTAAAAATGTTCAACAACGAAATAAATATAACAATACTCAACTCTTGTTCATTTTTGCTATTATACCCTTAATTAAATGCTTCAGATTCCACTCACCCGAGATTTCTAATTCTGCCCAGTGAGATTTTTTCCCATTGGCTACCTCCTCTGCTGACATGATGGTATAAATTTTGCGAGGATCTGGAGGATCATATTTTTCCTTTGGCATCCCTATTAGTCTGTAAAAAAAAAAAAAAAAAAAAGTCATTAGAGTCTCATAAGAAAAAAGAGAAAAATGGGTAAGTTTTCTTTTTGTCTCCCTTTGCCAGGTTACTAAGTGATTTTATACCATAAATTCTCACTAAAAGAAAAATACCTCTGAAGTATGCTAGGCTCTTACAGGAACTAGCAAAAGGTGTGTCGGGGGAAATTCAAATAAAAAAATGACACTGAACTACACAATGAACATTATAATTGCTTCCCAAACATTCATTCCATCCATTCCCTTTCATTTAGCTTCCTTGCTTTCCATGACACCAATTTTCTGAATGGACTCTTGACTAGTCCCAGAGAACCAGGATAATCCCATCTTCTTTGCATCAGTGATATTCAGATATCCCGTATCTAAGACAATCAACACATGACATTCCCCTAGACACATAGATTAGTTGAGACATATACAACGATCACAGAGTTTAAAACTCTTATATGTTGAAAATTATATGTTATATAATGGGAGAATAAATATGTTGCTGAAAGTATTATAGATGTCCCTTCTCTTCTGCTGATTATAAAGGAGAATATATCCTAAATTGCTACTGGCAGCCATCCAAAGGGACGTCAGTGGTTCCCAACCTTTTTTTGGCCATGCCCCACCTAAGCATCTCTAAAATCCATGCTCCCTGTGCTGTGACATATAATTCTTATTATTCAAAAAGTGAACTTCCATTTACAAAGAAGCCTAAAGAGCCATTAACTTGGTCTAAACAAGCTTCCAAAGAAGAGAAAAATCCATGATAGAGAAAAATAAAAGAGCATGTAACAATTTATATACTGTATATGAGGCCCCTAGAATCATAACAAATGCACACACAAAAAAATTCAGTTAATAACTAATTCTCAAATTGCCCTTAAAAATCAAATTGCCCCACATTAGGAACCACCGAGTTAAGAGTCTAGAAAATAGTTTTTAAAAAGCCAGATTCCTCACCAATCCATACCTGTAGCACTTCCAAACACTGGACTCTTTGGGTACACAAGCCAATACATTTCATTTGTTTGAACTAGTCTGAGTTGTGTTTCCTGTTACTTACAATCAAAAGCTTAATAATTAGGGTGATCATGTATCTTGCTTTGCATGGGCAAATCTTGGTTTATATCTGTTTGTTCTTAGATAATTAATATCAGCCCTTTTCACTCACAAAAGTATCCAATTTGAATGATGAGTTACATGACGACCCTAATTGAAACTACCATAGAATCTTCATGTATTAATAAAATAATCACAGAACAATCAAAAGTAATGACCAACGAGGCATAAAATTACACTAGTATGCATGTATGAAACAGATGACAAATAGTCCTAAAAGCAATTGTTTCAGGGGTCCAACAAAAGAATTACTGGTTGGTAATTGGTAGGGTGGAAAAATCCAGTTCAGATCTAACAATAATAGTAAATAACAAAGTCCTGAACCTAATTAAACTCACACATGTTATTAGTAAACTGCCTCATAGTATTTACAGTTGACTCTTTGCTCATATTTTTAACATACACACACAAACATACACACACCAAAACCAAGTCTCTAAATCTGGAAGTGTTTTTTTTTTTTTTTTTTTTAAATATATTTTATTGATTTTACACAGAGAGGAATTGAGAGGGACAGAGAGTTAGAAATGTCGATGAGAGAGAAACATCAACCAGCTGCCTCTTGCACACACCCCCACCCCCACTGGGGATGTGCCCGCAACCAAGGTATATGCCCTTGACTGGAATCGAACCGGGACCTTTCAGTTCACAGGCCTACGCTCTATCCACTGAGCCAAACCGGTCCCAGCTAAATCTGGGAGTGTTTTTAAGTAGAATTCAGAATTATATCTCAATGGAAGAGTTATTTTCAGGGGGTCTGAAATTTGTTACACACACACACACACAGAGAGAAAATTACAGGTATTCTATCATGTTTCAAGGAATCAAAGTTAGTTTATAAGAGTACAAAGTTTCCCATACCATAAATTGTTCTTTTATTTCTAAAGTTAAAATAGTTGATTTCCCCCCTTACCTTAAGGCAAAGAGAAAGTTTTCCAGATTTGTTCATCTGTTAACAGTAATTAGCTTCCAAGTTTCCATGTTAAGCTTTTCTGTTTTAATTTTATCATACAACTTGGGTGATACTAAACTATATTTTATTTCCCATATCTCCCATACCTTCAAATAGCACAAAGAAGCTCATTTTTCACATGGGAAAAACGATTTCTAACACATTTAGCCTATGTAAAATACTTCTGAAAAAAAATTTTTAGATAACATTTTCAAAATTTCTACTGTGCACCATAAAGCACATGCATCTTTCTGTGGGTATTTCTGCATTACAAGAGTCTACAAAAACACAAGATCAAAGCTAAATCAAACAGATCCAAATCCAAAGATATGCTACCAAATCCATTACCTACAAAGAGGAGGGGTAAAAACCACACTACAAAATTTGCAAAAATATATGTTTCAGTAACTTTAGATCCTTTTTATAAAGCATAAAGCAGCATAAGATTAGAGGTCAACTGAATTTGGCTGCTTTTTTTTTTTAATCCTCAGCTGAGAATATTTTTCCATTGATTTTTAGAGAGAAGGGAAGAGAGAGGGAAAGACAGAAATATCAGTGTGAGAGGATTGATTGATTTGATTGCCTCCTGCACGCACCTCTACCAGGGCCCACCTGCAACCGAGGTATATGCCCTTGACCAGAATTGAACCTGGAACCCTTCAGTCCTTAGACTAACGCTCTATCAACTAAAACAAACCAGCTAGAGCTAATTTAGCTATTTTAATCATGGTCTCTCACTAGATGGTATGTTTCCTTCTTTTAAAAAAATGTATCTTTATTGTTGAAAGTATTATTGATGCCCCTTTTCCCCTCTAATGCCCCTCTCCATCTTGCTCCATCTCATCCCCAGGCCTTCCCCATTACTGTCCGCCATGGGTTATGCATATACATTCTTTGGCTAATCTCTTTCTGCCACCCCACTCCTTTTCCCTCTGAAATTCATCAGTCTGTTGAGTACTTCAATGTCTCTGGATCTATTTTGTTAGTTAGTTAATTTTGTTCATTAGATTCCACATATAAGTGAGATCATATGATACTTGTCTTTCTCTGACTGGCTTATTTCCCTTAGCATAGTACTCTCTAGGTGCCTCTATGCTGTCTCAAAAGATAAAAGATCCTTTTTTTTTTTTTTATAATATTTCATAAACAGTATGTTTCTTAAAGGGACTGTGAGTTTTTCCTGTGCTGAAGCATATCCTTTTTATATCTCTATATAGTTCCTACCAGGGCATTTAATATGTATTTATGGAATGTAATCCTAAAATCTACCACTTCTACCACCCTTGCCATCTCACAGCCAACTAACAGACAATACTTTTCTAAAAATTAATCTCAAGAAAAGGTAATAAATTCAAATGTTCCATTTCCCTAAACATTTTAATAATCTTTTCTGGCCCCCTAATTCTAGTCTTAAAACAGCTACTATATAAAACTATATATTTTTAAATAAATACAAGTTTACAACTTTAAGAGTACATTAAAATTTACAAAATCTGTTTCTGAAAGACACATCCACAAAATGTTTATGAATGCCCATAATATGTAAAAACCAAAGTAATATTAATACTGTTATGTAAGGGCTAGTCAGAGGACTTATTTGATTAGGAAGCCAATAAAATACCAGTTACTTAATTTTTCAAAGTGAATCTAGATTTGGATAACCTGACTGAAGCTAAAACATTTTTCATTTGGATTAACTAAGTGATTTAGTAGAATCTATATAGTTCCAGAAATCACTATTGTCCCAAACATGAAGTTTTCAAATGTGCTACTTAAAAGCTTAGAGAACTCAAATTTAGAAAATTGGTATTATTGAATCCTACTATTCAGCTTTGTTTTCCTTCTTAGTTCCTTAGCATGAATCACTTTGGAGACATAACACACAAAAAATCTATTTTAAAAGAACTTACAATATAAAAGAATAACTCAAAGCTAATTTAAATCTCTAAATATGACAGTGATAATGTGGTTTCTCATATATAGATAATTCCAAGACTTAAAAGACTGAGTGATAGACACTTTATATCCAAGAAATAGAAATGTTTTATTTTGGATAGCAAAGCCTTTCCTGCCTTCTTTTTCAAATTGATGAAAAAGTCAATTTGGGTTATTTTATCATTTAAGAAATATTTATGTAATACTGGATAAAAATATACTGCCTTACCTTTGGAAAAAATAGTAACTAAGAGGGCTTCAAAGCATTATTTTAATTTATTACTAGAAGTCCAGCATGTGAAATCACATGCCCCGCCCACCCATGCTCGTAGCCCCGCCCATCCGTGCTGGTCTTTAGTTGTCACAACATTAAGGCCACTGGGGGTTTTTTTGTTTTTGTTTTTTTTTTGTGCTTTTTTTTAAAATATATTTTTATTGATTTTGTACAGAGAGTAAGGGAGAGAGATAGAGAGTTAGAAACATCGATGAGAGAGAGTCATCGATCAGCTGCCTCTTGCACACTCCCTACTGGGGATATGCCCGCAACCGAGGTACATGCCCTTGACCGGAATCGAACCCGGGACCCTTAAGTCCCCAAGCCGACGCTCTATCCATTGAGCCAAACCAGTCTCGGCAAGGCCACAGGGTTTTAATAATATAGACTAGTGGCCTGATGACAAAACTTCTACACATCAAAAGGGGATTAATTAGAGGAAATAATTTAATATTGCCATTTGCCCTTTCTCTGTAATAGAAGTGTCAGACATGAAAGAAAATTAGTAAAATGTATATAAAAACCTTCCTCCTGTCAGAATCTGGGGTGCACCACGGGACCCAGAATCAAGTTCCTGCCCACCCTCATGAGCCTCAAAATCGTGTGAGACCCAGATCCAACTGCTCCCCCACCCCTGCCCATTGGGCAAGACTCAGGCTCAGCCAGTCCCACCTTTATTAAGCCCCACCAGGCAGAGGACGTAGCCTCA